AGATAGATCGAGAGAGAGAGAGAGATAGATAGATAGAGAGAGAGTAGATAGATAGATAGATAGATAGATAGATAGATAGATAGATAGATAGATAGATAGATAGATAGATAGATAGATAGATAGATAGATAGATAGATAGAACAATAGATAGATAGGTAGATATATAGATAGATAGAACGATAGATAGAACGATAGATAGAACGATAGAAAGAACGATAGATAGCTGCCTTGCTTGCTTGCTTGCTTGCTGGCTGGCTGGCTTGCTTGCTTGCTTGCTTGCTTGCTCACTTGCTTGCTTGCTTGCTGGCTGGCTGGCTTGCTTGCTCGCTCGCTGGCTTGCTTGCTTGCTGGCTGGCTGGCTGGCTTGCTTGCTTGCTTGCCTGTTCCCTGCGTGGCCTGCGAATAGATTTCTGAAAAAAATTCCCCGGGAAATCTGAAAAAAAATCCCCGGAAAAATACGTACCCGCAAGATTGACAGGACCAGTATCTATGAGCATCCAGAATGTTCATGTTTTGATATGTTTTGCCTCATATAGAGTACCAGGAAAACCACAGGTTCCAAACTTGAGTATGGGTCCAAATTGAGTATCTCAAGACCTTCAAAATGACCAGCTCATCTGTACTTCCTGAGGCTTTCAATTTCGCTTGTCATTTCAAGACCGAGACATGGCCACTCCAATGCCATTGCCTCCACCGCCTCCACCTTTTCGGTCGCCTTTTTGCTGGCGACGGGTGAAATCCATTCACCAGCGATTTTTGTTGGTCTTACCAATAGTACACCAGTAGTAAATGAATGTAAATGATCCAATAGTAATGGCTACTTCCCAATGTGCAGACAAAAGTCTGTGCGTAGAGCATCGTAGAACCCTAGCTATTGAAGTTGTTTGAAGTATGAGGAAAGAGAGCGGTATCCGGCTCAGGAGACCCGAACGAACATTTGTGAAACTGCTTAAAAAGGTACAACCCCATTTGCTACGAACTTAGGTTGCTGGGATGATTTTTTGGCTATCTTGAATTTTATCCCCCTACCATTTACCAGTTGATTCACCCACCCAATCATTGCTAGTTCCCATTCTTGACCCCACCGATCATCCCACATTTGCCAAAGATTGGGCCCAAATTTGAATCCATTGAGTTCAATGATGGTACAAAAAGGTCCTGGACGCTCCCTCCCAACCACTGGATCCTTCCAAATTTTGATGGCTCCCATACTCCCAAGAGAAACCCCAACACCATCAGTCCGGGTCCCCAGAAATTCTGTGGAAAACTATGATGATCTCATTGTAATCTCATATATTTCTATCCATCCAATTATATACAATTATATCCAATCATTTATATACAGTTGTATCCAAGTCAATTATTATTAAAAGTGCATAAAAATTCTGTAAATACATAAATGTCCGATTTTCTCCCCAAAATTGCACCAAAGTCACCGGTTCTTCGGCTTCCTTCGACGCCTCGGCTTCCTTCGGCGCATCCGTGGGGCCTAAAGCTGCGGTGCCGTCGCCGCTGTCGCTGGGGACTGGGGCAGCCTGGGCGCGGGAATTCAACGTATGGAAATTGGGGATTTGGTGGCTAACCACTTGGCTGTCAACTTCATGGGGATGCGGGATCTAGTGAGATTCTCTTGGTCTAAAGATGGGAGAAATTAACACCAAATTTTGGGGTATCCCCTACCCATGGACGCATCATACACCTTTGGATATACTGGGATAGACCTGAAACCATCTAAAACCATGCCCAATTTGTCTGTTTGGGGCTATTCCAACAATTTAAGCAAAATATCAACAATCTAAATAATGACTTCCACACCCTGAAAAAAGTGAAAAACATCCCACGTCCCAAGTAGGAACGGGACATACGATATATTTCAAGCCACCAAAGGGTCACGGGACAGAACCTATTCGCAAACCAAAATGTGGTACCATTCTGAACCATTTAGCTCCTCATATGCAGATGGCCCAGTTTTAAGCACATACCATGTACTCCACCATAAAGGGGAACACTGGTGTACTGTATACCCAGTATACCCCCAAAACCACTATCAATTCTTCCATTTAGGCTTATAAACCACACATTGATGTGATATGATGTGATTTCTTTAGGACTTTCCCATGATTTTTACCACATGAAGCCAGTGGATCATCCAATCCAAGTCACAGCTTCTGCTTCCCGTTTGGAGAGCTCCATGGCAAGTCTCCTGAGTTTCGGCACCAAGCATCTGAACGTGGTCATAACCATATGAAGTGCCCATGGTCACAATACTATACAATGCGCCACACGGGATATATATATATATACATATTAATACATATTAATACATTTATATATATATATTAATACATTTATATATAAATATACATATTAATACATTTATATATATATATATATTAATACATATATATATATATATTATAGATACACATAGAGCACATATATAATTATATATAATATACTAGTATCATATGGGTTTGTCTGAAAATGATGTATCCCATCCGTTCATCATCCCATATCCCTATGCCATAGTATCCCCAATCGTATCCAAGCCACAGCTGCGCTTCCTCAATGTGTCTGGATGCTGCGCCGCGCTCACGTGCCTCTCGTGCCGCGGCTGTCACCTACCATGGCTGCAGGAAAATCTCCGTGAAGTGGAAGAAATGGATGTGATTGGGGGATGACCAACCGACAAATCAAATCAAGGAACATATTGAATTATTGGAAATATTGGAATTGAAAGTGAGGAATAATGAACACTATCGATTGAATGGGAATATTTCAATATAGGAACATACATCAATAAATTAGTGAATGGGAATTGACACTATCAGTGCTTCTGCACCAGCCATGGACGATCCCTCGTCTTCACCTCGCACCTATCCTGATGTACCGTAGGCACATCGCACCTACATTGGAATTTCTGTCCATTCGCACAGCGAACATCCACTACATGGGTTGGCTCCCTACCACTCTTCTTCACCCTTCTTCTTATCATCTATGTAACTACAATAACTAAAAGTGTACAGTGATATCCCTAAAACATACAAAAACATACCAAAACATAATAGCATATCATACTAACTTACACAGTTCAAATGACCCGTTCGGTTGTTTGAAGGATCACTTCCGCCCAACCCGGTGGTTGCGACAGTTGCGACCTTGGGAGTTTCGTCCTTGGAGGACTCGCAGTCGTTGAGCGCAAAGACTGCGGCTTCGTGCGCGTCCAGGGTGGGTGTGACGCTAAAGGCACCGCTATTGCCTTGGGCAGCGCTGGGCAGTGACGGCAGTGACGGCAGTGACCGTTCTTCATTTCATCCAATGGGGCTGGGTAGCTAGATGTAGCATGATGTAGCTAGGTAGCTGGTTGAGACCCCGAACAATTCTAGTATCATTGATATCCAGATATGATTATCCCAGGTGGGGGAAATAGATGGAAATAGCAGAAATCAACAATGTGCTTCCCCTGCGAATTTCTGCGGGCTCACCTGTTTCTTGCATCCACCTCTGATAGTCATCAGATATCAGGCGACTGGTCGGCCATAAGTTTGACATAAACTATCCAGATTATCTCAGATACTTGGCTATATATATATATGTATATATAGACATAACATAGTATAACTATAATATGAGAACTATATTATTTATGTAAGTTATTATACATGGTGTTTTTCTTCATCACATCCCGCATTTTTTGATGCATCTTGATTTTTTATATTCCGCCGGTTTGATGATCACCATTGATGTCATGGCTATCCATGGCTGCCTGGCGAAGATTTTTCCGTTGAGTCACTCCTGGGCAACTCGGAGCCCTTCTTGTCATCATCCCCACGTTGGAAATGTGCTCGCATCATCTCCCGGTGCCTCGGAGAATTCTTGAGCTATCCATAGGTATCCTGAAATACTATGAATATGTATATATATGTATATGGATATATTATGATATATCTATGAATGTATAATATATATATATATATATTCATTTATTCATTTATTTACTATATATGAAATACTATGAACATCTATGAAATATTGACATCTGACATCTGCTGACATCTGCTGAGGTGCTATAAAAGTCATGATATGTTCATCATATGAGCAAAATTACTTACTCCTCGCAATGGACATGGCTAAAGTGCTAAAGTGGGTGGTCCCCTATCGCTTGTGAAGCTTTTCCCATGATCTGCAGGCGACATGTAGCGAGGGTTGCTGCCCAAGCACTCCTTGCTGTGCCATCGTTGCACCGTCTCATAAATGTCCTCAGCTCCACGATTCCAGGCATTCGCCAACTCAAACCGATGACTCATCACCTGAATTACTGGAAATCCCTGAAGAGATTGTGATCAAAAACATATATAATCTATTATAATCTGATAATATAATCTTATATGATCTGATGTCCTTCACCAATCTTCACTTTGGCGGCAAAAGTCCCATGCTTCCATCGAGCGTCGTTGACGGCCTCCTCGCTCAGTTCCACTGCATCAGAGCGGCCGCAACGGAAACGCATGCCTGGACGTCTGGACATCTGGACGTTTGGCCTTGTTTTGGCAACTGATGGATCGAAATGGCACAGATCTGCACTGGTCATTTTATACGGTCCTTTTTCTTGATATCATGTGATATAATCATGAGATATCATTGATATCATGTATCATGCAATCTCATTACTTATCCATTTAATCCATTTTGAATCATTTTGAGCATTTTTTAAGCTACCCAATAACTTGACCCATCATGATCATTCATAATCCATCATGACCGATGCCCTCCGATGCCCCACCTGCACCACGGCTGCGTTTCGCCTCGGGCTCGGCCGAGTCTGCGCCCGTGGCTTCCGTGTCGGCGTGGAGAGAGCGCTTGCGGCTCTCGGTGGAGAGGCCTTGGGTGGAGATGGGAGGATATGGATGGGATATGGATGGGATATGGATCCAAAATGAACTCTCAGTGTAGATGTAAAAAAAAAAACTATCATGGAGGATTGGATGAAGGCTATGGAGGATATGGGATAAAAATGCATATGATGGAATAAAATATGTTTGGATTGATATGGATGGGATGTGGGATGTGGGATGATATGAGATAATGGGATATGGAAGTGAACCAATGAAGCTTGGATGATACTGATACGGAATATAAGTTAAGATGATATTAGATGTATTGGGATATAGAATGATATAGATGGAACATGGATGGGTTTAAGGTTCATCATGGACTTACACAGAGCAAGCAGCGACACTGGAGAATCAAGCCGACAAGCATGGGCCGTAGTGATAGAACGAACCAATAACCAAATGAAGGTAAATATGAGGGATACATGGGCAATAATATCTAGGATACATGGGGTATCTACAGTACTGTACTACGGTATCCCGAGGAGTGTGACACATGGAGAGCTTAATGCAACCAGCATGGAAAGAGAGATGAGTCAAACTTGCCGAACTTGCATTTTCGGGCCAGCAAAACCAAACCGAACAAGGGGGTGGAGCATGATTTGAGGAAATGATACACTCGTTTTCCTTGCCCAGCCGAGCACATAGACCGGAAAACCCAGATTATGAATGGGTTTAATGATAACTTATGACCTCAAATCAAGATAGACTACTTTGTGGGACAACGAAATGGTTTCAACCGCTTGGGTTGCCGTTTTGACTTGCTGGTGAACGATGAAACAAAACCAAGGAAATCCACCGGGGAAATTCCAGGCAAAATTATCACAACCTCTCGCTGAACTGGTTTGCCTGACCCCTCCAATCCCACAAGAAATGCAGCAAAAACCATCCCAAAAACAATCCAGGATGCATTTTTGGACCATTCTGGACCAATTCCCCGAGTTTTTTGCCGTGTTTCAGCCCTAAAAATCCCAACAGCCAACAGCCGCCCAGACACCCAGTGGCTGCAACAAGGCCTGCAGGGAGGATGGCTCATGCTGCAGCGAGGCCCATCGCAAAAAGGTGGGCACAGCCATCCTCCGACACACCTGGCGGTGAAATTTCTGAAAACCGGGTGAACCTATGGTGAATCCATGGGGAAATTTGTGGTGAAATTCATGGATGATTTTCCCATGGAAAAAGACTGGCTGCACTTCGGATTCTCATACCTCAAAGGTTGGAAGCTGCACAGCCTCGAGAAAATGGATGGGAAGCCTGCAGGTAAAATTTGGTAAAATGATGGTAAACTGTACCACGTCTCCTCGGATCTTCACCTGCATATGTGGCCAATATATGCCAATATAAGCAAGTTAATTCAATGTCCATATTATATCATATTATGGTATGGTGAATTATGTAAACTGGATTAAATTGGTGCAATTCACCATTTTGTTTGTATCTTCATCCTTCTTATACATAACGAACATGTGAATGTCAGCTTTATTCTGGAAGCCTTGACTTACAAAATGAAGCGCTGAGTATCAAACACCAGGGCCATTTCAGTTCCAGCTACATCAATAACATCTGGATACATTTGTGCAGTTGTCAAAAGCCTGGTTGCTTCATAATCATAAGGGATTCTACTAACCAGTATACATTATTGATTGGTGGTTTCAACCCCTCTGAAAAAAAATAGTCAAATGGGAGTATTATTCCCAATATATGGAAAGTCATAAATTTCATGTTCCAAACCATTAAACCACCAAGCAGATTATTAGAAATTATCACATTCCAGTAGGGGAACCCAGTTCTCAACCAACCATCATGTGGCAGTGTGTCAAAACCTTCTACCCCTGGTGAACATCAAAATAGCTGGTAAATGGATGTTCATCCCACTAAAAATGGTATTAATAGGTATTGATCCATAGCCATGTTGACTTGGCATCACCACTTCCAGTCGCCAGTCGTCACACCTTGGCACTGAACCAATCCCAGCCGGCGCCCAGTGACGGTCCGTGCTTGGACCACAGCTGTCGTCGGACCTGTTGTTCAAAACGCTGACAGCACGACGGCAACTGATCCATGGAAAAAAAAAGTGCCGGACCCGGGGAAAAGCCGGTTACATGATGATAGAACATGAACAACAACAGATAAACAGCATTTTTATAGCGGTTGAATAGCATCTAAATCCAAAGATGATATCTGGTACATTCTGAGACCATTTAAGCCAAAATGGATCTCTATGTACTCTGTAAATGGATGTAAATGGCCTATATATGCCTATATGAATATTGTATCTGGTATGTTGTCCTCTATACTATTAATTGTTTCGGAAATACAGTTGCAGTGGGTATGTAACTACAAGGTATAAGCCTTGCGCTTGTATTGTCAGGATGCAGAAACCTTCCAAGAATAGACCTGACACTTTGTCACAAACCAATCTGGGATGAGTTCAGTGAATTGATGACTGGGTGAGATAGTTAATGATATGCTTACCCTCTGGTAAACTAACATAACTATGGAAAATCACCATTTTTAATGGGGAAATCCACTATTAATGGCCATGTTCAATAGCTATGTTAAATTACCAGAGGGTAATGATATGCTTAACTGCTTAATAATATCCTTAGAATTCCGTAGATATCCTTAGCATCAAACCAGCCCACATCTGATTGTTGCGCCAAGGAGTGACCATCACCATCCCAAGGGTCACCTGCATGGCAGCCAACAAACTGTAGCGCAGCGCCGGCGGCGCACAAATCATCAGCGGATCCCATTCCAGACGCCTGGTTCCGATGGGCTGGCCAGACTGACAGTTTGCGAAGCCATGCCCCAATTAGGGAATTGATGTACCTCACGTTAAAAGGTAATTCTCCATAGCAAAGTGTTGTTTACCAGAGGGTTTTTGGAACCATCATGTAACGTATACGGTCAACCGCCATCCCGACCTCCCTTCGACGCCATCGCCTCATGGCGTTGGATTCATCCCATTCCGCCAAGGTGCGCAAGCCTTGACCGCACCACGATTGTACAACCAAAATCATGTTCAGAAGCGAACAGCATCTACATCATTCTACATCTACATCGTAACGACATCATTCAAATTCATAGAAAATTCATACAACCATCACTCTCATCCGACTCATCGTTTTAGATCACTCTTTTTGACGTCAAAATGCATCAAAATGCCACCTGCTCACTGCGCCCACAGCCGATCACAGCCGGGTCTCGATTCCCGCCTTTGTAGTGCTTTGTGGTACCACCGAGGTCAGCAAAATCTCGCAAGGTCAGTAGACTCCAAAGGCCTGTGCTGCATCCAGGATTCCAGATCTCTCTCTCTCTCTCTACTATATAATATATATATAATAATATATATATATATATGTAATATATGTATAATATATATGTATACACAGTTTGTGATGGATTTCTGTGGACTTTTGATCATAATGCATATCAAATAATCAACATAAGACTCATCTATCTATGCAAATCTCTCTGTACATCTCTATATATGATATACATACATACTTATATTACTACGACATCTGTTTTTTTTTTCTGGGGCGGTTCTAACTCTTGGTACTCATGGTCTTCCATTTCCAAGCTCTATCAAGCTCTTGTTTAAGTCATCTGGAATTCAGGGGTCAGAGGCATAGGAACGCCATGTGTAAAAAATATCAATCTAGGGCCTGGAATTGAAGGACAGACTAAGGAGATGTCAATATGATCAAATGTCCAAATCTTATGAACCAATAAACTGCCTGGCAGCGTCAGTCGAATTCTTCAGGGCCCCACAGCCCAACATCTCATCATACCTCACCTCCTGTTTGTGGTTTCGCTATTGGATTTTAAAAGCGCACCGTTTCATGAAATAGCCCGCAGCCACACGTTAACCCACCCCCGAGGGTCCTCCGGTTCGAAGGGTTGGATCAATTCCCAGGCAGCAGAAAAGGTTTGAAACCATCAACCACTTACACAACACCATGTTCCCATTGATGGCAGTTTTCTCCCCCATTTATAGCCCTCTTTCACCACCATTCGAATGGTTCCCAACCTTCGTTGCTGTCCACAGCCACACGCATCTGGCAGCAGAGTGGTCTCAAACGGACTGAGGTAACAGCTTCCTGGGCGCTGTGAAACTGGGATCACTGAGATTTCACTGGTGCAAGATTTTGCTGGATCACTGGCGATTGCTTGAGGGTAGAAACAATTGAGAAAAACTCCAGTTACGTGTTGTGATTGTCTTTTGTGCGCCTAGAAATGTTTGACCATAGTATTCCTAGAGTCCTAGAGCGACTTCAAATGAGTTTCATACGGTCACATTGCTCAGCTCTTGCGTGCCAAAGAAACTTCCACAACACGAACAAACTTCTGCCATCTTCTGTCTCGCGCTCTCTACTCTGCGAAGCCGCTCCAAGAATGGTCTTCTTTCCCACCCATATCATCCATAAGGATTTCCGTCTACGTTTCCCAAGCATCAAACTTTCATGCCCTGGGGTGCTTCCGTGCAGCCCAGCAACTGATAATAATAACACAGAGGATAAGACCTCACAGGATGACCCCAGGGGCATCTCCCGATGTATCAGACCGCAGAGAAAGGCTTTGAGCATTCAAGAAACGGTAAAGTCACTGGATGAAAGGATATGACAGGTATCTTTGGAACTTGGAAATTCGGTCCACAGAACTTTCCATTGTTTGGATTGGGTCCACTTCCATACCTGGACATCAGAGCTGTGAAATCACGTCATGTCCAGTAAAGCGTTTACCCAATGTACACCTGACAGCTATGCTGTTTTTCTTGTCACAACTCATGACAAATCCTGACACTCCCCGGAACTGGCCTCGGGTGGGCAATCCAACAAGGGGAACAGGGAGGTATCTTCCTGTACAGATGGAGACCTGGGAAATTTTCCTTGGTGTGGGTCGTAGGCAGGGGAAATCACCTGTGACCCATTCCTGATGAAGATTGATGGGGACCCGTTGACCCAAACATGTTGGTGTTGGTATTAAATTTCCTGAACTCTTCCTTGAGTGGGGATCTGTATCGTTTTCGCCTATCAGTTGTTGTTAACCTGCAAACAAAATCTGCACGCTTGTTGCTTCAATCTCCGCGTCTTCAATGATCAAAGCATGTTCTTGGTAGGCAGCATGATTGCATCTCCATTTCGGCTAGTAAAATCAGGACAAATGCTGATTATTCCCCACTTTGCATGTTCAACTCCTCCCAACGAACTGTCCATCCCATTTGTTTTTCTTAAACAGCCACAATCAACCACATAACTGTCATAACTTGTGCCTAAGAAATCCTCAGAGATGTGACCCCAAAGATGGTTATCAACCACATAACTGTCATAACTTGTGCCTAAGAAATCCTCAGAGATGTGACCCCAAAGATGGTTGAACCATGTTGAACCCTACTCATCAGGGGGTCAACTTGCCCATCAGCTCCTCCAACAGGTCAGCCAGCAAATCTGCTCGCTCCTCCGAATCAACAGATTCTGGATGATTCTGGATTCTGGACGCTTTTGGAACTTAGAGGCCATTGATTTTGGAGGATTTTGATATTTGGTGATATTTGGTAGTGTCTTTTCTACTCTTTTCTGGGTTCTCGATGGACTCCTCAATTTGGGGATGTGTATCTTGTTGGCTGATGGCCGACATGGAAAACTCAGCAGGATCGTTTTTTACGGCGCACCTCATAGGAGAAGTCCAACTCATTGGCAAAAGCTGCATCATCGGCCTGAGGCAAACGAGCCAACAGACCTCGATGTTTCAACGCTTCTGAAGGGTTTCTTTGATTCATGTGAAATCCATTGAAATCCATCCAAACCCCCCCCAAAAAAACAGCATTTGGAAGGATCATTTTGGTCCAAACAGGAATAACCAACACTTTGGCTGTGGAGTTTGCAGTCAAAGGGAAAGATACCACCATGTCCCTGTGAACTTGCTCTGCATCGCAGCAGAAAGCCCATGTCATTGTCAGGTCAACTATACCCCATTCATATCCATTCATTACCCTAAATTTGTCCAAATGTTACGACCATCATGTGGCACAATGCTGTTGAACATCTGATGCATTCTTCGGCCAATGAAATCACTGATATCCACTAGGGCAAAGGTATCTGGATGCAAGGATAAATACCCCTTGATCAATTGGGTATTTCTCACAATTCAGCACCCCAATCATCAATGGAAATGTGATGTAATATGATGTAGTAATGTGTGGTTTCCATTTGTTGAGTTTCAAGGGCCTTAAGGGGGTACCATAGGGTGACCTTCCAGCCCCCGCTTCGCGTGTTCCAAGTGTCGGCTCTCTGTCTCTTGTCCAACAGCCCGAAAATGGACGTCATTGCGGCGGGGTTTGTTCTGACACTTTATTCTGCAAGTGTGTTGGTCCACGGAGTCCACAGGTTGCTGCACCAAACAAACTCTGTATGTATCTTATTTTATCTTCATATATAAAAATCAATCAGCATAATTAAGGATATCAAGAGACACGGTCCAATGCGCAGTAATCTTGCTCGTGGCTACTGATTGGTGAAGTTGAACAGACTTGAGCGTGTTTCAGGCTTTCAGCATCCAGCATATCTTGCTCAATTGTCTAATGCAGAACCAGTTCCTTTTCAAATGCCCAACTTGTAGAGATTTGAATGCAATCTTTGTTTGGTTCTTTTCCACAATTCATAATCTTTGAGCAGAAACCAACCTCAAGATACTTGCAAATCCGTAAAGGAAGGTGCATTCATCACTGATGAACAGGCGAGTCAACAATGACACAGTGATTCCATGACTTGCCCACGATTACAGCCCCATCTCTTAGATGGTAAAGAATTACTTACTTTAATTTAACCAAGATACCAATATCATCCAATATCATTGCATTCTTACATGTACTATCATGTACTAATGCTACTCAGATAGGATGGTTTCTCTGAAGATTGGCTAACCCCAAATCACATGGTTTATCAAACATTTCCCCATTAAAACTGCCATTCAATGGGTATCTCAATAGATTGGTTTATCGGAAAATCTACAGGAACGTCTAATCTGGATTACCCCCAGGGCCCCCTTTTTTTTCATGAATGCTTTCCTATGCTTTCCTGCAGATGTTCCCAAATATCATCAATTGGAGAACCCCTTCGCTGCCATGCCTCAGGGGATTGCTCCATCTTGGGTTCCGTGGTGGTGGTGTCCTCCAGAACGGAAGGCAAAGAGTCACAGACGGTCAATAGAGTTTCTGGTGATAAAGACTACAAAAACACAGATTTGTCTTGGTCTATGATGTTATTATTTTTTGTTATTACTATAGTATCAATTATTTTCAACTATTGTTTCAATATGTTTCAATTATCAATTTTAGACAATAAACAATATCACTATTATTACTATTAATTTTTAGAATTTCATGTCCGGACTACCTCCCAGAGACACCACCAGAGACACCACTCCCCCTATGGCCTCGGTCATGTCCTGGGCGAGGGGGATGGCCGCATTCAAGAAACCGAGGTTGGCTAACAACAATCATACCATATCAATCATACCTACCATCTACAGTAGATACACACAATAGACACAATAATGATGTGTATCATGAATCATGCATACATATGTACACTGTTATAGGATGGTATAGGATGTTATAGGATGTTATAGGTACATCATGGTACATCCAGTCTAGATATGCGATACATACCGGTACAGTCCTGCAACGGCGACGGGATGCGGCGGCCTCCAGCAGTGGGCACCTACGTGGCGATTGAAATCCCAGGTCACCTTTTTAGGTGACTAAGAAATGACGTGAATCTGTGATGAAGATTCATGAATTATATTGAATTATGAGGTGTTATTGATCTTGTGGATTCTGATTTATCTGATTTATACTTCATGATGATCAGTATTGATAATGGTCATACCCGAAATATGAGACATATTGTATACATAACTGTATGGATTGGTTAATGGGTAGTAGTGAACATGAACAGAAACATCGAACTATATTGGTGAAATAATTTACCACAAATTTCAGTGGGTTATCATCGTTTTCCCAATTAATGTTTTTGGGGTACACCCGTTTCCAGATCCCCTCATCCAAAGATGTTACTTCTTCACCCAGCCTTCTTCTTGTCATCCTCCTGGTGCTAAGCTGCTAGGGAGGGAGAAAAAACCTGCTACATATTGTTCAATAAACGGACTGGAATTTCATGGATTCTTGCAAACTATGGTTTGAAGTACTCCGTATGCATTGTGGCTTAGTTCCAAACGAACACATATCGCTGGGAACAACCGACATGTTGCGACTATCTGGTAGATTACATCCATCTGACATCCAATCTGTTGAATCTTGGATATGGTGCACTGCTGCTTATGTTCATAGGCTTCCCAAAATTTCAATGTTGCGTTTTGGCTGCATGGGTTCGAAACATAAAACATTCCACGCACAAAAAATGCGTCCGATCATGTCCAACAATGAACGGAGTACGGGGTTGTTCTTAGTTGGTTTCTTTAGTCCATATACCGCAGTAGCTGTTTAATTGTCAATACCCCATTACTATTGGAACAACCCGTCGGAAAAATGACGCCCCACTGAACGATTTGGCCTTCTTGTCTTCCTGCATGGCGGATGTAAAGGCGATTTTGAGTTAACATTGAGCAAAACACTTGCCATAAAGTCTTGACAATCCAAACAAATATATATATATATATTATACATATGCATACACAATAAACACAATAACAACAGTAGTTGTACGTAGCAATAATAGCAATAATATGCAATAATAACCCTGATAATATCTGGAAGTTCATCCATTGGTGCAATGCTTTTCGTGGAGGCCACCATGCCACTTAGCTGGACCTCAGCTGGATATGAAATATGTTCGATAAATATTCACTCCAGATCGTGATGCTCAACAAAATATAATTAATTACATGTATTCTAGGTGTATATAATTAAATATATAGAGAGTTTATAGTACATGTATATATCCATCACCGTTCATCACCTTCCCCTTTCCACATCTTTTCCCTGGCCATGCATCGCCCGTGGTGCTACATGGCGGCCTTGGTTCGAATTTCCTTCCACATCTCTTCGATGATCAGGTCGCATGCATACCTTGGCTGTGATTTTCAATGGATTGACGTCACTGACGTCCATAAAAACGGTCAACTTATGTTGAATTTATCTTCTGTATGTAAATGTATCATGATCATTCTATGCTTATATGATTATTTATATTATATATATATGATTATTCATGTGATTCCATGTAACCTCCCTTCTTACCGGTAATTTGTAGTTGAAAACGAATGTGGAGCAATCATTGTAGATACAAACTACTGTTCGTTGCACAAATGTATAGAGGAAACATTTGTTGCCAAAGCTGATGAAATAAACATAGATAAACCACAAAATCAGGAACTAGTTCACTGTTCACATACCATCACATATCCACATTTTTCAAACTTTATGTTCCAAATCCCCCCAAAAAGTATCATCATATGACATCATGACCATGTGTGGGTCCCTTGTGATCCTGCAGTGGTCCTGAGCTGGATGCTTGCCGACCTCAACGCTCTCTGGCTTCGCCTGAAGGTTGGTGAATCTCTGGGAACCGAAGAAACTCCAAAAAAACACAGCGATGCATCGCATCCTTAGGAACGGATCCTCCTGCGGGGTTCTCATTACAATTTCAATGTTCTTTCTATGGGAGTCAGTTTGCATCGGAGGGTGAAATTGAATTGTGAAATTGTGGATATGTGGACCAATTTGATTGAAACTTAGATGAACAACTTCCAAAGTACTTCGGGACAAACGAACCCAATTAACCAGGCACTATCACTAATCGACTCAACCATCGCCCAAAGCATCCCCAGCGCTCAGGGCTACAATCTACTGCCTGGGACAAGTCTGCACCCATGTTGCGGATACCTCAGCGACAGGATTTCTTGCAGACATTGCACTTTATCAAGTAATCCAGGCAAGTCCTTCATGTCAGTAGTTGAGGGGCAAATCCTCTATCGCATGCTCTATTTTTGCTCTATTCTGACCCGGCAAACAAACGGGTTTGGTGCTTGGCACTCCTCGAGAAAAGGATGAAAATCAGACAGCCACGGGAGTTGGGGGTGCTGGAAACTCATCTGAAGACCGCTGCCTCTTGGATTCAAATGAGGCCTTCATGCGAAGTAGAGATGGTAGATATATGTTGATATAACATGAAACACGCCTGCCACATTCAAGTTGGATGATCCGTTGGCACAGTGAAGATGCTTGATGAATGTCATGAAATTCTGCTGCAAATTTGCAAAAATTTCTGGGGTCCTGATCCCACTGAACCCCAGGCTTACGCGAAAATGAACCGCTATAACATGCTATAACTAAGCTCATCATACAGACCTCTACATCACTATACCGACTATACCCAAGTGGATTGGAAGGTTGTGATATGTTGTGATGATCATTCCAAAACTGACAGATTCCCAGAATGACCACCCAAAACTCCCCCTGCCGAGGCTCAGAAATGTAGATACAGAGGTAGCAAAGCTGGAACTTTCGAGCGATTGAGTGCAGCTGGAGCCAACAAACGAAGCCAAAATGTAGTAATCTCCCATAATCTCCCGTGTCATCAAAAATGGCGGGAGAAATCCCCGATGGGCCATCGATGAATGGAGACTCATCGATGGAAATGCCACTGCCATGTTTGATTGTCAGAGGATGCCAGAGGGTACATCCTACTTGGATGGGCCATTCAGTTATATTCAGTTTCTTCACTGGATAGTAGCTGGGAAACCCTGAAAAACAAAGAGTCACGAGAAAAAATATGATGGACTACAGCGCAGTTGCGAATCATTCAACTAACTCTGCGGCCGGATTACTGAAAGTATTCTGGTCCATACATGATCACAACATCTGCAAAGGCATGTCAGGGTAGAGAGGTGATGGATGGATGGATGGATGGATGGATGGATGGATGGATGGGTGGATGGATGGATGGATGGATGGATGGATGGGTGGATGGGCCAACATCAGTCCTGACCATTGAAAGGCAATCCTACCGTACCCCCTTAACTACCCTGCCTTTTCTGTCCATCTTCGAAATTTTCACATCCACACTTTGCTAACACACACTGGACTCCTGGACAAAGAAATGGAGTCAGCTTGCGATGCGACTGGCACCTCAAAGTTACACTGGCTCTTAGCAAGGTTTTCGTCCGAGGTCCGTGAACTGTGTCAATCTATCATGATTTGGGAACAAGAACATAACTAACTAACATAACTGTATAACCACTTGTCACTTATCTATTCGTATTCACCCCCCACAGTTGATCTTTCTGGCCAACTGATAATCAGAGCGACGCACATACAATCATACAGCCCATGTCTTGAACAAATCTCTACCGCCAAATTCCTGCTATGGCTAAGCTAGGATACCTCATCAAATGAAAACTTAGTCACTTAGTTCTCAAGATACTGCAGCGCTCCCTGCACCAGTCACCAGTCGCCTTTTTCGCGGAGGTTTTGCCGCTGGCCGTGCGGCTCCCCCGGCTTTGGGGGGTTTGCTCGCCCGGTTCTTCTTCGCTTGCTGTTCACCTTGGTGATTCACGGAAGGAACGTCAGCTTGGTGACCCTCCTGCAATTTCGAAAAGGAACCACGAAAAACAAAAGGTACAACAAAAAATGTTCCTTGTTTTCGCATTACCGCGACTTGGACACTGCATTACAATTTCTTCCGTCCATGTGAAGGTAACCTGAACCCATGGGGAGACAACGGATCAAACGGAAGCACAACATCGACTTTTCTGAGAAGTCGACTAATTATTTTCTCATCTTTGTGGAGATTTCACAATTAAAAATTAAGACCGTTCCTGCCTTGCCTTGACTTTTCTTCATTTCAATCCCCAAAAGCTTTTGAAAAGGAAGCAGCGACCTGCAATAACCAAGAAATTCAGGGATCGTCATCTGGTTTCCGAAACCATCCCATGGTAAAATATCCGTCCGAGACGCAAAAAGGCATGTGACGTTTTGCCTGGCGGAATGCTGAGAGGCTGGACGGGCCTAGACGGCCTATGAAGTTGGCATGAGTTTCAACCTTGGAATTGTCAAAACTTGATTGAATAATATTGAATACAATCAACACATATGAACAACTTGACTTACAATTTACGTCCAGCCCTGACGTTGCTCCACACTTACAATCATCATCATGATCTCATCATCATCATCATCATCATCATCATCGTCATCGTCATCGTCATCGTCATCATTATTATCATCACGATGATGATGATGATGATGATGATGATGATGATGATGATGATGATCATGCATATACATCTACATATTGAAAGTCCACCGACATGGCAGTTCAAAAATACGCAACCCTTCCGTAATTCCAGCGCGGAGCAACGTCAGGGTTGCACTGTACAATCTTAAATAGTGTGAGGAAGGAAGATTGGCATGTCGAATTCCATGCGTTGTCTGCAACAATAATAACCAGAGAAACATAATAGTAACACATCAATATAATATATATAGATATATACATAACAATAAGTTTAGATATCAATAAATAAATCAATAAGTATCAATAAATGAACATTTTGAAAGCAGATAAATGATGATAAATCTAGGTCAATGTAAATGTAAACCACCAGGGCCATCAGTTCCGCCACCAGCCACACCTGCTCTTCACCGAACTTCCGGCCGCAGAAGGGGCAAGGCACGCGATCGTCCAACTGCTCGGGAGTGGCCTGGCAGAATCCAACATGGGGGAGGGGACATAGGGGAGTTATATAACCATGGAAAAACATACAATGGAGGATTTAAGCAGCACTGGGGGATAACCAGATAGAGATATACTGGGTAATTACTGGCTTAACCTGGCTTATATGATGTTATATGGACCAACGTAGGAGGAGAATGAACAGTTGAGGTATCGTGGAGGTATCCCGTTTTGGACACACCCAAGGTGGCTGGGAAATGAACCTGCACTGCTCGGGAAATGTGACTTTATCATACTTTATCCACATATCTCGGACCACCAACATGAGGTTGTAACACTGTAACACTACAAGTAGTATCGCCACATCCAGATTCGTCATCGGCACCTAGGATTGCTTTTACCCGGGGACATGGGCCCAAATGATTCATCATGATCATCATGATCATCATGAATTACATACCGAATACTTCTGGACAAAATTTCAAGACCCAGGGACACGTAAAGGTTGATAAATGATGATAAATATGTTTCCGTTGCATCCCAGTTTCGCCACCTCTATTTTTAACCCATTCAACCCATTCTATCTCCTCAAGTCAGAAGCTGTGCCCTTCTCAAATTCCCAGCTTTTTGGGCCTTGGGGACCGGGAGTTCGCTCAATGGTCGGCCCTCCTTTTGAAACTTGGTCACCTTGGTGACGCGAAAGGAACAGCTCAAAATGGGTCACATCGGATTGGGCAACCACTACGTCACCATGAAAACCATTTTGAACATCCATTTCGGTGGACCAAACATATTGACGCACACACACATGTATCATTCTGCATCACAACTTCAAGACTGACCCCCACTCAAAACCCTCTCTGTGCTCACCTCTGATTTTTTGTGTGCAATTCCGCCCAGCCCAATAGCGGTATGCACAGCAGTGTGCTAAAACAGTTCTGATGAGATCCTGAGTTCTGTGCAATCCCAAAGGTGTATCTGCTCAACTGAGATCCCGTTAAGTTTCATCAAATGTTTCAAGTGGGCCAGCTTCAGTGAAACAAATATCACAGTCCGGCCACTTGCCCAATTACACTAGTTGGTGAAGCGGTCAATTCGGTTTTTGTTGGGTGCAACTGCTTGGTGATTTGGAGCTATTCTAACTGTAACCAATCGCCATCGCGCATTTGATCACAAATCCAAAATTGATTTATTCATCCATCACTTGTGTCACTTGTTCTCACGATCTCTCCATAGCAGCCGCGCTGCGACGCACACCATCGCACACCGGTTTCTGCAGTCATAGGAAGAAACCAAACCCACATGTGCGAAGCATATGGTTGAAGTTGACATACAACCAGTTTTCGTTCACAAGAAAGCTCGATCCAAACTCATCCAACCATCCAAGCCACTGGCCGTACTGAACATGTGAAACTCACAGGAATAATTTCCTCCCAGCAAGCACACATGCTACATGACATGGGCGTCCATCAATCATTGGGGATAGCATGGATATGCATAGGACAGTCATATTATATATATATTATATATTATATATATATTATATATTATATATATATATATTATATATATTATATATATATATATTATATTATATATATATATATTTTATATTTTATATATATTATATATATTATATATATATATATATCTACTTCTACTGGCCAACACCTTAGTCTAATTCCAAGGACAACTCATGACATCTTGGCAAGAATCGACCTGAAAGTTGAAAGACAGGGACGAAAATGACTCCTCAAGAATGGCAAACAAAAACCGTCCAACATTTGAGATGGGGGATAGTCAGACAACCTCTGCAAAGCACGTGGCAAGAGAAACACCAAGAAAGAAACACCGCCCCTCATGTCGACGCAACTCTCTGGGATGTTGCCACGGGAAAGATCAAGCCCAGGTCTTCTCCAATCTGGTGGTCAAACTGAAGTGCAATTATATAATGGAGAAGCAATCGCATCAAATAGATTCAAACACTGTGTACAGAACAAAGCTGAGAATACGATTTTAATCAAATTTGGGTTCACCATGGTTCACCACTCATAAGGAGCAATGCTGTGCATTTCAATGCGGGCGAATGTCTGTCTGCGGCAACACCACAAAGAAGACGTCTCGCAACGCAACTGCTCGTCGCGGTACAACATACTGTAAAACATTCAGTTTTGCGGCCCTCGGTTCCAGGGGCATCCGACGGATTTCCGCGAAAGCGCCATGTAAGAACATCAAGTGCCAAAGCCAATCAACATCAATCAACTATGGTTTCAATGAAATCAAATTTCAATCGCTGATTATTCTGAGGGTATGAGAGCCCTCACCATCCAGCCCGTCCACCGCAAAAGGAAAAAGTAGGATGAGGCAGCATGAACGCACAGCGCCGTAAAAAAATATGGCTGGCAAAGTCACGCCAAGTTGGCCCATCCTTTTGTGATTGGGACATCATTGGAACTTTATCGGATGAGTTGCTCCTCTGCTTCGACATTAGATGGAAACGACTCACATGGGCCCTAGCGGAAAAAAACAAAACTTTCAAATGAGAGCAAGAACATGATCCCAAATTAAGAACATGAAGCAGCTGAGGATGCGAAAAGACTAGCTCTGATTCCCATTAAAGGATATTCAAGGTAGCTTATACACTCCGACCAAGCAGCTATGGTCCGACTCACCACCGACCCGGCCCAGGTGTCTTGGACATGGGCCTGCTCGAAATGGATGGGTTGGTCATGGTGATTGAACATGAAGGGATTGAACACGTTCCAGTGGGAAATTCATAGGGATTTACCACCTGGTTATTTAACATAGCCATGGAAAATCACCATGTTTAATAGGTAAACCATCTATAAATGGGCCATTTTCCATGGCTATGTTAAATAATCAGAGGGTAGATAGATTTAGATTTGATCGAACAGGGTTTCGGCAGAAGGGATCCCAATCATGTTGCGGGCCTTCAAAGAAGCTGTTTCGATCCACTTCGCTGGATTGTCGTTCGAATTGAGATAAATGGATTATGCAAATAATTCCAAGGTACACGCAGGAGCAAACATCCAGTGGCTGGCACAACGGACATATGAATAGATATCAATACAGTAGATATCAATAATAGATATCAATAGATGTCAATAGATGTCAATAGATGTCAATAGATATCAATAGATATCAATAGATGTCAATAGATGTCAATAGATGTCAATAGATGTCAATAGATGTCAATAGATATCAATAGATATCAATAGATGTCAATAGATGTCAATAGATGTCAATAGATGTCAATAGATGTCAATAGATATCAATAGATATCAATAGATGTCAATAGATGTCAATAGATATCAATAGATATCAATAGATGTCAATAGATGTCAATAGATATCAATAGATGTCAATAGATATCAAAAGATATCAATAGATGTCAATAGATATCAATAGATATCAATAGATATCAATAGATGTCAATACATATCAATAGATGTCAATAGATATCAATAGATATCAATAGATGTCAATAGATATCAATAGATATCAATAGATGTCAATAGATATCAATAGATATCAATAGATGTCAATAGATATCAATAGATATCAATAGATGTCAATAGATATCAATAACCACTGGTCAAGTCATCATGCGATGCTAGTTTTCCCGCGTTCCATGATGGTTCCGTATGGTTTCGTGTGGTTCAGCGGTTTCACTACACTACAGGCACTCCAGGGGTTTTGTCATTCCAAGTTTTCACCAGGTGGGAAAAGACTGCCAGGGAGGGTCTCAATGCAGCATGTCTAGAACACTCTAGAACCTACCCCTGGAGTCCAAGCGCAGTACTCGACTGGTCATATCACCTTGGTTGTGAGTTGAATCAACTTTGCTCCAGTGAACACAACATAATACAACCCCTTTGCTGGTATATTTTCTCAGCTTCTGTGATGTCCGTTGGAATCAGGAACCATATCTAAATTATCTGATTTATCTAGTTCCGATCAAATTTCTATGTTTACATATTTGATCATATTTGATCATATTTGATCATATTTGATCATATTTGATCATATTTGATCATATTTGTCGCACGTGGGCCATATAGCTTCATAGTTCTACTGCTACACATCTTGTTTCCACCACCATCACCCATCACCGGCGGCCTTTCCACGGTTGAAGTACCGGCTCAGTGCGCATGGCCATTGTGGAGATCCTCCGCAGGCGTATCTGGATCCGCCGGCAGGTAGCCTGGAGCGAACAGTCAAGGGCTTGGGTAACAGAGGAACTGAACCATTCCATGCGGATTACCATATTATATATATATATTCACAACCATGTGTATATATATATATAATATTATATAATATATAATATTATATAATATATAATGATTAAATCATATATAATGATTAAATCATATATAATGATTAAATCATATATGGATATTATTGAATGGGACATTGGATGGGATATTGAATGGGATATCGAAGCATCAAAATAGGGATTTAACCGATGGACAATGGATATGGGTGTGTCTGGGGTATACGGTGTACCCCAGTATATCGCTATCTTGATCTTAATGTGAAAATCATGATGAACCATTGGCGGTTCGTGTACCCAGGTTTCAAACGGGGCCGATGTTGAACCCGAGGTGACAAAGAAAAAAACCATGGCAAGACTACCAAGTGTAGCATAAAAGTGGTTTATTGGAGCTTATCATATGTGAAGCAGGAGATTCACATGATCTTCCTCTTTCATGGGGATAGCTGATAGGAATCCAAGTTGGTTCCAAGTTTCATAAGTTTTTCCCGTCAGTTCCATGCTTCCCTGCAATTTTTTGTAGACCACATGGAAATGTCCCTGTAACGAGTTAGATATGACAGTAAATATGTTCCCGGTTCTGGTAAGTGACCATCCACGGTCTAACCTTGCTAACCTTGTAGTCATCAACAAAACCAGATTTTTCTGACAGTTCATCTACCAAAGAAATATGGGCAGTATTGCATCGTATTGGGCACCAAAAATTCAACCCATGCCCGCCTGAAAACATGGCCAATCTTAGACTACCTGAAAAAAAAACAATATGTTGAGGTGGGGATGAAACCGACTCCTCAATTAATCCGCAGAATACAAAAAGATACAAAACTGTAAATAACAATATGAACATACTTATAACTTTATAACCATCGCAATCACCAAAAAGACACCATGATCACCAGCCATCAGCATCGCCATCCTATCCAAAAATCATCCAAAAGCCAGAGGAAAATCATCAATTTTTTAGGGACCACTGATCCAATAGCGATCCAAGTTTCAATGCTCATGGTCGAGCAGCACCAGGCCCAGGGCTGCAGCGCCCAGGAGCCACAGGACGATCCTCTAGCCGCGATGGGATATTAGTGGTCATTGTTAGATAAGTTGTGAATAGTTATGATAAATTTTAGTCAAGAAAGGTAATGAAGCAAGCAATTTTTTGGAGGCCAGTAGTAGTGGGACGCCAGCCATTTTGGATCATTTTTGCTGCTCATTTCGGGTTCAGATGCGGATCATGTGTCTAAGACTCGTGATTTGGGGATGTGCAAATAGTAAATAATAATGAATAGTACATAATAGTACTATGTTTATCATGGTTAATCCAATTTTGGGCTCTAGTTTGCACCATGAAAGGAGTGAACAGCAGGTTTTTCTCCAGCCGCCCTGGGTACTCTTTTTCACGATGGTAGTGGATGAAACACTGAAGTAACAGCGCGGATGAAAGCAGGTGAAATCTGACTTAGGTCACGATCACATTTTTTGAGTCCTGAAATGTCCTGAATCCGTTCTTCAGTCACTGGGAACTTCAACGGATACATGGGAAATCATGGGAACATGTTCTCATGACTTGTGGTATGTTGTGGTGCCAGGACACGTGCCCAAGCTGCTCAACAGACGTCTTTCTGCGCCCTTGTGCGTTTCTGCCACCTGCGTCGGGTTCAACGAAACCCACAGTTGAACATCGGAGCCATCAGGGATCTGCATCCAGTTCAAATAGAAATAGTTCAATTGCAGTTCTTTCCGAGGAGTACAATGCCTCATTCACCGAGGTTTTTCGACCCGTTTCTGCTGCAAAAAATTGCACCCAACTGCCCGAACTAAGAGTTCAACAAGAAAGACACACATACGTCGGATGATAGGAAACATTGTCATTCATTCATTGTCATTCACTCTAGTTTCTCAGACTACACATTTGCAAGGCTTGTCTCATAACTGTCTTGCTCCTTCCCCAAAAATTCCCACAGTACATACAGTACATGACATACATGACAAACACACGCACAGACATATAGACATACACATATACAAACAGACATGCAGACATATTTGCACAGTTGCACTGATGCACATAAATCCCTATATATAATTATATATATATACATATATATATATTTAGAAAGATGTCTGTAATACCTACATATTCACATATATACATATACGTGTTTTTATTTACATATATGTGTCTTTATTACAACCCCAAGGCAACTTCCGACCTGCCCCTGTGAAGGTACTACTCGGTTTCAGGTCATTTTTTGGGGTGGAAAAACACTATATATAGACTCCATGTTTCTTCTTCGGACTGCAAAATACAGTATCCTCACCAAATTGATCAACGTGTCCATTTTGGAAGGTCCAATCAAAAGAAATGCGTAATGATTGACCAACTGAAGGGGGAAAAATGACTTGCAAAGCGGAAATAAACCTATCAAACATGTGCCTCTGAATAATACCATCAAACTTGGTGCTTTCCACGTTCCTTACCGTGGCAATCCGATATCTGGCAAAGCAAAGAAGAACAATTGTCAAAAACATAATATATGCATGGGGATCATTAATCCCCTTGTACACAACATTAGGTGCAACCATTTGAACACAACATGAAACAAAGACGTCCACGGTTGGGTCGGAAGGGGTGCCAGGGGAACTGTTGTTCTTTCTCGCCTGCGGTCCCAGTTCAGTGCAAGCCACGTAGAGGAAGACGCCTGCGCCTGTGAAGGACAACCATTTTGGTCGAATTCCGGCGAAACTGTATGATATACTTGATGTTCCTTATGTCGATACACGATCATAGTCTATGAAATGATGAATACATGTAAATTCAGACACTGCGACCCATTGATGGATCTGCCATTTTGCGGTTCAGAGTTTAGAGGACTTCAAAAATTCAAGCTCTAACCCACAGTTTGTCTGTAGATCACTCCAAAGAACATAAACAACCAGGTATAGGAAGATAATAGTGGGAGTCGATCTGAATTCTGCTCCTGCTAATTACAAGTGCTAAACCCTTGGTGCCCTAAGGACCCTAGGTCATAGAAGTATAACTACAGGTATCTAATCGTATATATACATATGTATGTATACACACAAATCACATCTATGGTCCCGTCCTCCATCTCCGTACCCCCCCCATGGGTTGGATACCCTTCTGCCAACCAATCCCAAACAATGCCGGGTACTAATCTAATCTTACCTTATTATATTTGTTATACTTGCTCTGCTATTTAAGGTACATAGGTACCAAATACTGTACTGTCGTTGCAATGTTACATATTACCTGCAAACTATCATCTATCGCATGCTTCTATACAGCCTATATATTGCAAAAAACATGCCCATATACCTAACACTACATACCAAATATAGATACTCTATATAACCTTATACATATATATATATATATACATATATATATATATATGTCAATGCCAGCTAATGCATGCATGTTGTTGCACAGAAGCATGTGCACATTTCCTTTTCCACCCTGCTGCCGGGCTCTAGGGCGCCCTTCGAGCACTAGCGAGGCTACATGGCGGTGTACCCGCGACATAGCTGAATTGGAGGAAAAACAACGTGCTGCCCAACTACAACTTCGTGTGTGGAAGCTTGGGAGGATCTGGCTGGGATTGGAAGCTTTGGTTTCTAGGACATCCCCTACTACCAGATCGATATTGGTAGCGGAGCCCAATCTGGGCTGCCGCAGGTACTTCGGCCTGAACTTGTTCATCACCCTTGCCTTGGACTTCGGTGGCAACGATGGTGGGTGGACAAGCATCAGACGGTGCCAACAACTCTGGAGGAGCCGCAGTACCAGGTGGACCTGCTGGTGCTACGACTGGCCCTCAGAATGGTGGAGCGACAGCAAATGGAGCACAAGGTGGTCAAAACGAGTTCACTCGTGGTTTGGACTCAGGTTTGGCCAAAGCAGCACCATCTGCTGCTGGACTGACACAGTCCACGTACAGGTCTTTCAGAAGGAGACTTGACCTGTTCAGCCGACAATGTAGAAGACGAGGTCAAGGAGTAGCTCTTGAAGGAGCTTATCTAGTTCTTTCACAACTACAAGACGTAGCATGGGAAGCAACAGAGGGATTGGACTACGATGACATGGAGCTGAGTGATGATCCCTTCAAACCCTTGCTGGTCGTCTTGGACAAACTTTTTCAACATGAAGAAGAAGTAGAACTCCCTGAACGATGCCAAGAGTTCTTTGAGAAGTTTGCCCGAGAACGAGGTGAAGAACTACAAGCCTACTTGGTGAGGCATCAATCGATGCTTCGAAAGTTGAAAGAGCTCCAGGTGGACATACCACCCCTTCTTGCTGGTTGGCATCTTTTGCAAAGGTCTGGAGTGCCGCGGTGGACCCATGTCCAGGTCAAAGCGATGTGCAACGGAGACATGTCAGTTGACCGAGTCTCCAAAGCTTTGATCCGAATGTTTGGCGGTGACAGCAAGCCGAACGCCAAGGACTCCATCCTCAAAGGTGAGATTCACTATATGGATGCCGAGTATGATGACCTTGAGGACTATGGCTTTGACGATGTCTACTACCAGGATGATGACGCCTACACCTATGGCTATGACCCTGACTATGACGACACCATTGATGAGGTGGAATACACAGGTGAAGCTGACGAGGACATCCCGCAGGAGCTTGATGAAGCCTCACTTGCAGTGGAGGATGCATTCATCAACTACTTGGACTCTAGAAAGAAAATGCGGGAACTTGCTCTCAGCCGAGGTTTTTACCCTGTGGTTGCCATCGGCATGGATGACAATGGTGGTGCGTTCAAGGGGCGTGGAAAAGCCTCTGGTGGGAAGGGCAAGTCAAAAGGAAAAGGCCGTGGAAAGAGCAGCGGAGGAAAAGGCAAATCTGCCGGAAAAGGACACCCTTTGCCTGGTGCACGACGATACGTTTTTGGACGTCGGCGTGCAGGTGAATCGACATCGACTGCTTCGACAACGGCATCTGCAAAGTCCACAACCAGTGGAAGCACGTCTCAGCATGGCCCAAGATTCAAGCGCTACAGGCTTCCAGCCAACGGCATCAAGGAAGTCCCTGATGAAGTCACCATGGTGGAGGACAACTTTGTCAGCGAGGTGAACCAGATCCCAGTGGATTACACCACCCATGAGAGCATCAACTTTGTCAGCCAAGCTGTTGGTTGGGCTATCATGGACAGTGGAGCTACTCGCACAGTCTGTGGTGAAGCCAGCTGGAACAAGATCTTGGACTACCTCAGCTTGAGGAACATGGAGCCTGACATCGACAAGGAAACAAAGGATTTCAGGTTTGGAGATGGTGCCATGGTGAGATCGCTTTTCAGAGCAATGATCCCTGTCTGCGTTGGCAAGACCTGGCGACAACTCATTGTGCACGTCCTTCCAGGACACACACCTTTGCTCTTGGCACGCCCAGATCTTGAATCTTGGCAGACGGTGGTGGACTATGGAAGAAAAACTGTGATGATCGGTGACGTGCAGGTGAAGCCAGCGTTCACAACCAACGGGCACTACATGATCAACATCTTTGACGACCTTGAGGACGTCTTGAGCTTTGCAGAGCTGGACAACATCGACGTTTCTGTGGAGACCTTCGTGGACTCAATGATCACCGATGAGGTCTCTGACTTTGAGGCCGACCTTGACGTCGAGGTGTCAGAAAAAGAAGCGGAGGAGTTTGTCTTCGCTGCAAGCATGAAAAGCCAACAGCACGAGCGCAAGCTCAAGTTTTGGGAAGTCTATGTGGATGAAGGGAACCTGAGCAAGTACCTGCAACGAGCATATCATGATGTGGAGGTCCGGCAGTTTTCTCTGCCAACTTGGAACTTTGAGATGAAAGAGCAACAAGCCGCTTTTCGACGTCTTGTTGAGCAAGAAGAACCTCATCACATCATGGTGACTCCTGAATGTCGTCTCTGGTCACCAATGCAGAACTTGAACTACAGAACACCAGAGAGACGGGAATTGCTCAGAGATCTGAGGGTCTTGGAAGAAGAGACCCACTTGACCTTTTACAAGGACATCCACATCGACGGCAAGCGCCTGGTCTATGACACAACTTTTGAGAACCCTGCAGACGCAGCTTCATTCGAAACCCCAACTTTGGACTCCATGAAGGGCTACTTTGAAACAGTCCTGGATCGCTGCCGCACAAAGCTGAAGGCAAGTCCTGAGGACGAGATGTATGTGAGAAAGCCTACAAGGTTTCGATCAAGCTCAAGAAAGGTCTGCGAGGCTGTGAACTTGCGTTGTGAATGCCCCCGAGGAGCTCATGTCCAAATGATGGGACGCGGCTCTGTCCTCAAAAAAAATGCAGAACTACGAGCCTGAACTTTGCCAACGTCTTGGCAACGCCATCTACTCTGCAATGGAGATGGCATGGAAGAAACGAGGACAAGCTGAGCTGATGACCATGGAGGTCGTCGAGAAATCGACTGAAGAGATGCAGTACCTGGAACAGAACAAGGAGCTCATCAAGATCGGTGGCCATGAGATCCTGAAGTCGGTGGCCAATCTCCATCGACAACTTGGACATCCAAATGGAGCCAAGCTGGTTCTGGCGGTGAAGGCCCGACACCTTCCCAATGAATTTGTCCAGGTGGCCCGGAGGTACAAGTGTCCGACCTGTTTGGCCAGGGCACAACCTAAGAATGTGCGTGTGGCGACTTTGCACAAATCCCCACACTTCAACCACTCCGTGGCCATCGACACCTTCTATGTGGAATGGGATGGCAAACAGCGTGCGGTCTTCACCATCATGGATGAGTTCAGTCGCTATGAAGTTGACATGGAGATCAAAGAAGAGACGGCTGACATGGAGATAGCTCTCTTCGAGTCAACTTGGAGCCGATCTTTTGGGTTCCCAAAGGTTTTGCGACTGGATGCCTCTGGTCCTCATCAAGGGCAACAATTTGCCGATTGGACATCTGCCCATGGAATGTACATGGACCTGATCCCACGAGGTGCTCATCACAGGCTTGGAATCCTTGAACGGAATCATGCAGTCCAACGACGCATGCTGGAGATCTTCCACAAAGACATGCCCGAGCTGGACTTTGAACAAGCCATCTTGGTGACCTGCCATCAGAGAAACCGTTTGTCTTCGGTGAAAGGTGCTACGCCTGCCACTTTGGCATTTGGCTACGTTCCCTCCGAAGGAGGCAACGCTGATGACCCTGGACCCGAACAATTTGGGGACTCTGCTGACTTGGCGCAGGTCATGGAAGTCAAACAGAAGGCTGCACAGGCCTTCCACTCTGCCAACTTTGACCTGGCGGTTCGATCAGCCGCTTTGGCTCGATCACGTGTGGATGAGGACGAGCTCATGGTGGGAGACTATGTCTACTACTGGAAGCCACAAACCCACAAGCTCGACCCTTTCAGGTGGCGTGGACCCGCGATGGTGGTGTCCGTGGAAGCCTCAATTGACCGAAAGACCATGATGTACTGGATCGTCCATGGAAGCTCACTGGTGCGAGCAACACGACAGCAGCTACGCTTTGAGACTGTCCCTGAGCGCTACGAGCGTCAGAGCAAGCCTGCCTACCTTGAGAGCGTGCAGAAACCCTTGCAACAACGACTTTTGGAAGCTCTCAAGCCAGTGCGTGGTCCAGTGAGGGCCATTGACATTGCTGGCAAGGCTCAATCTCCTGACGATTTTCCTCAGCTTGGGGGGACTGGAGCAGCCGCTGTCGCACCTGGTGATGCCCCTCCACATGAACCACATGAACCTCCTGACCCACCGAAAACTGATGACAAATCGAAATCGAAAACTGCAACTGCAGAACCTGACACTCCCGGCAAACCTGCCGACAAGTCCAAAGCTCGGCCGAAGGCCAAGCTGCCTGAACCCCGAATCGACTTTTGGGTCGACTACCCCGACAGTGAGAAAACCGAATCTGAATCCAAGACCACTGACAAGACTCTCTTGGATGAGATGGTGGCCAACAAGGACAAGAACCTGGATGACCACACTCAAGGCATGACCGACATCCAGAAGGAGATGAAACGGAAGCTGGAAGAAGAACATCCGGGCATCATGGACTCCTCGCATGGGGTGATCGACAGGCAAGATGATGAACCACCTGTGAACCCTGATGATGTGAGCGTTCGAGCCCGTGACAGACGTTTCTATGAACAAGCAGTGCGTGCTGCCAGTTTCCTCTCCCACGAGAACAATCGATGACTGGATGGACTGCCTCCTTCCGGACGACAACTGCCTGCGAATGCTGCCGCACAAGCATCACGACCTGCTGCAAATCTGGTGCCTCCCCGAGCTGACGATGGTCAACCGAAAACCAAGCAACCTCGAACTGAGGAAGTGCGCATGGTGGAGGTCCCTGAGGATGAGGTCATGATGGCGGTCGTGGAGAGTCGGTTGTCTGCCGATGAGAAAAGAGCCTTCACAGAGGCAAAGCGCAAGGCCCTGGTCCCATGGCACGAGAACGATGCTTGGAGGCCCTTCAAGAGGACAGCCTGCCCTCCTGGAACCATCGTGCCGATGAGGTTTCTCTTGCGCTACAAAGAGAACAAACCACATGCTCGAGTCATTCTCCAAGGCTTCAAGCACAAGGATGTCATCGAAAGCAAGCTTGACACCGAGTCACCCACAGTGTCGAGACTTGGCAAGTACCTGATGGTGACGCTGTCTTGCGTCAAGAGATGGAAGCTTGCCACCATGGATGTGAAGTCTGCATTTTTGCAGTCGGACTACATCACCGAGGAGGTGGAGATCTATGGTGAGCCCTCAGCTGACATGAGACGCTTGTTGGCTGAGATGATGGGACTTCAAGAACATCAGGTGATGCAGATGACGAAGCCTGCCTTTGGAGATGTCAGAGCACCCAGACAGTGGAACGAAACGGCCGATCGTGCGTTGATCCACGAGGTCAAGCTGTGGAAGCACGAGCTCGATGGCTGCATCTACATGTCAGTCAGACTGGCAGTGGATGGTGACCCTCCTTTTGAGGTGTTCGAGCACGAGGGCAACAACTATGTGGTGGACGGTGTCTTCTGCATCCATGTGGATGACATCTTGACTGCAGGAGAGGGCGTGCGCTGCAAAGAAGACGCACGGGAGCCCCATGGTGAGCCGACTTGCTATGCAGAGAGACTGTATGTCCTCTTGCATCGCTTCAAGTTTGGCAGCGTCGACTATGGCGACAAGCAAACGTTTTGTGGATGTCAAATGACACAAGCCCTGGACTCTGCCACTGTCACCTTTGACCTGCAGAAGTACATCCACCAGCTCAAGCCCCTCAACATCGAGAAGGCCAGAAAAGCACAACCCAACGACAAGGCCACTCCGAAAGAGCAGAGCCAGTTGAGAGGTTTGCTAGGTGGGCTAGCCTGACCTGCCAACCAAACGCAACCACACCTGGCAGCGTCTGTGTCCCTGGCTCAGGCCGCTTCTGCCAGCGCAACTGTTTCTGAGTTGCTGGAAGCAAACAAAACGTTGAGGTATGCCAAAGAAAGCTCAGACGTGCACTTGGTCCTCAGAGGTCATGGACGGCTGGAAGAGATCCGGTTTGGGTTCTACAGTGACGCGTCCTGGTGCACAAGACCAGACGGGAGTTCCCAAGGTGGCTGGATCACCTTCGTCGCGACTGAGGCGGAGATCGGTGGCAGCAAGCCTTTCCCCCTCACCGTGATCGACTGGTCTTCACGGAAGCTGACCCGAGTGTGCCGAAGCTCGCTCAGTGCAGAAGCTCAAACTTTGGCAGCTGCAATCGACAGCCTGGAGTGGACCAAAACGGTGTTTGCCCTGATGATCTGGCCAGCTCTTCGACCAGACAATGAAGAGATGATGCGCTGGTTGGGCGACTCACCTTGCATCACTGATGCCAGAGCTCTCTTTGATGCCAGCAACAGCAAGGCCCCTGGGATGAAACTTGCTGAGAAAAGAACTGCAATCGAGATCAAGATGGCATGCGAGCGCATGACTGCAGCTGGAGGAGTGCTCAAGTGGTGCAACAGTCATCAGCAGTTGGCTGATGGGGTCACAAAGGTGTCAGCACGGCAAAAGCTTGCAATGGAGCTTCGACGCCGCATGCACTGTTTGAGATATGATCCTGAGGGAACAGCTTCAAAGAAGGTCAAGCAGAACGTTCGCCAGGACGAACAAGATTCACTTGATCAAGCTGCTCAGGAGTTCCAAAAACAACAAATGGTGAAGGATGGCATCTACAAGATCGAAGAGATGGAGTCAGAAGAAAAGATGGAGTGCAACATCTGCCTCCTGGACGGCTGTGGTTTGCCAGCTGAAGATGGCAAACGTTTCTGTTCGAAGCGCCACTACCACGCCGCAAAGCACAAGCAGAGCAAAACAAGCTCAGCCAAGAGCACCGGAGTGATTTGGTGCATGACCCTTGCCAACGAGATCGTGCCCGTGGCTGCTCTTGAGTTTGGGTTTGTGATCTTCCTCAGCTTTGACAAGATCGTCGGGTTCTTCTTTTTCCTGGCCTTTGCCTTGGTGTTTGCGTATACCCTGGGCAAGCGTGCTGGACGCCGAGAAGTCCATGGTCTCGTGGCTACGACTGAGCCAGTGGAGACAGCTGAGGGAGAAGCACAGGCACCGCCGACACCGCGAACCAGAGCGGTGACTGACTGCCAACGCTTCACGGCAGCTGAGATCTCTTTCCTGCTGGGCGAGGGCTACGAGGTTTGGCCCGGTGACAAGGTGGAGCAGATCCGGCGAGACTTCATCGCTGAGTTGCCTCCGTCCATTGAGGACCACTTGCCCCAGTCCGAGATCGACAGGCTGATGGCCGGTGAAGAGACCGTAGCTCAGGTACCAATAGCACCTGAGGAATGGAATGCCATCAGTCGCCAGCAGAGAGAGGAATTGATCCAAATTTTGGACGACAGTCTTCTCCTGGGCGTTCCCTGTGGTGCCATGTGCCCAGAGCTGCGAGATGAAGCTCGAGCCCTACGAGCTCAACTTGCGACCGTTCGAGTCGTAGAAGGTGAACTACAACCTCTGAGGGTGGTAATGAGTTCTGTGCCTGAACTGCCGGTTGGAACCCTGGTGAGAGCAACTCCCAGACCTGGCAACGGCACCTGAAAAGCTGAGCAAGTACAGTGACATTTTTGGCCTTTCTCACCTCACCTCTTCTTTAATTTTTTCGTTTTCCGGCCTGTGTCAATGCCAGCTAATGCATGCATGTTGTTGCACAGAAGCATGTGCACATTTCCTTTTCCACCCTGCTGCCGGGCTCTAGGGCGCCCTTCGAGCACTAGCGAGGCTACATGGCGGTGTACCCGCGACATAGCTGAATTGGAGGAAAAACAACGTGCTGCCCAACTACAACTTCGTGTGTGGAAGCTTGGGAGGATCTGGCTGGGATTGGAAGCTTTGGTTTCTAGGACATCCCCTACTACCAGATCGATAATATATATATATATATACATATATACATATATATACATATATATATACATATATACATATATATATATACATATATATATATACATATACATGTGTATATATATATATACATACATACACGCATACGCAATCTATTATGCATTGCATGCCTGTTACAACCAATATATTGCTCATATCGTCCCTATATCCCTAACACTATATATGTACCTAATAATTAGCCTATAATACCTAAGATATACCTAATATATCCTAATATCTTACCTTTTGCATACCTATATACAATCTATATATTGCTAGTCTAGTAGCGTACCTGTATACCTTGTAATTCTAGTTACCTAATATATATACATTATATAACCTAAATACCTACCTAATATATGATCCATTTCATGCCTATATACCTATATACCTATACACCTGTATACCTATATATACCATTAATACCATTATATACCTATATACAGCCTGTATACAAAGCCCAATCTGTTTACCATTGTTTACCTAATATCTGTTAACTACCAACTTGCGCAACTACCACCCCCCACCACATCCACTACCACAGCATACCACAGCTCCGGCCTATGGCGAGGAAGGCGCCCCTGATCTCGGAGCTCACATCGATGTAATAGGCCATCACCGCTCCAATGACGCAGGACAAACCTCCCGGCCGGCCATCCCGTTGCATTCGGACCAGTCGACTGGGACGATCCGAACTATGGCGAAAGCCTCCACTGGAAATCGCCGCAAACTCTTCCCACAATCTTCAAAAAAGATCAAAAAAGTGAAATAAATCTTCCTATGGCTCAATCATGTTCAATCTCCTCATGGTCCAGTTTCCTGATGTCGCCCTGATGTCACCCCCACCAGCTGATTGAAGTGGGCACCTGAGATGAAATTCAGGAACACAGCAGTGTACCATTTCATGCCGGCCTGGCATGTGGGGTGATGGGCTTCATGTCGATATCAGTCATCAGACTCTCTACTGCTCAAATGTTGAATTATGGGAGCACGAGTTCGAGTCACGTCGCCGCTGACACTTTGCAGGTTGACTTAATAGATGGCGCGGACACCATCTGAGAAAATGACCGAAATCCGCCCAAGTGAAGGTAGATGGCGCCGCACTGGGAGTTGCACCATCTATGTATGCCAGGTTCTATCCACATGCGCGAATGGTGTTGCTTAAATTTAATGAAATTTGTGGGGTAGATTCTGCGCCATGCTTTCCTTCTTTTTCCCCCGCAGTCTGTCGGTTCTGTCATCACGGATGCATATTAGTACGGTTCGAGATTTCAGGACTGGGGTGCTGTTTGTCAGCACCATTTGCCGTGCAATTGAAAGTATTGAAAGGCTTCTGGCTGATTGCATCGTTGAAACAGGAAATTGTCAGTTGCGCCATCTTTTGAAGCAGGTCAAAATCACACAAACAAAGGTTGAAAAGGAACCCCAAAGTAAGGTAAACATGGAAAAAACATACAAGCGCGTATCCAACACAGCACGTGCAGGTGAAAATAAGAGGCACCGATTGCAGTAGTTGCGCCGTGCATGGGGCAACTCGCATTAATATAGCGTGCGCACCTGAGCCATTTTTTTCCATGCAACACAAGCGAATACATATTCAGTTTTCGGTCGAACATGTTGAATCTGTGGAGCTTTCGCAACCGGGTGCGTGCAGTTTGGTCATGCTTATCCTTATTGCCAAAGCCGGCGCAGCTCCAAGCACATAGGTGGTTCTTGTGGCCAAGTTGCGCCATCTACTGTGCATTCAATTTGGTGGAACATGTGCATGCGTTTTGTTGGAGAGAGCGCTCACATGAATACGCCAGTGACATGTGAGTTGCGCCATCTATGTGGCTGCAATATGGGGAGCTTCCCTGTGTGCTTCTGGAGTTGCGCCATCTATGGCAGTGGCAAGCATGACCAAACTGCACGCACCCGGTCGAGCCAGCTCCACAGATTCAACGTGTTCGACCGAATACGAAATATGGCGCAACTGTAAGCGGTGCCTCTTACTTTCACCCCCAAGTAGTAGATCTCTAAGACACTATTTGATGATGTTTGATGTGCATTGATGTACAAGTAGGAGCTGGGAAAAACATGCTGGTTGGTGTTCATACCATCCCCTAAGTGAACGAAACAAAGCCTGAGTCATCTTGTTTGGAATGGTCCTCATATCCACTATAGAAACTGCCACCGAAACATCATAGTTTAAAACCTAAGTTCCCCGTTGAAATTGCCGTGAAACGGGGCCTCTCTCCCATTTTTTGACTAATTCATATCATAATTATTGCTGGTTATAACTATATCGCACTATCTCCCACTACACCCGTACAAACTGCTGGATTTTCATGGATTTTCATCTATGGTTGCATACCTCCATCTTCGTTGCTCCCAAAGTATAACGCGGCGCCCTCGCCTTGTTGATGAAGACATAAAAATCCGCCAGTTCCTGAGGTATGGTCAGTTTTTGTTGCAACCCCAATTTGCCAATGGCTCGGGGCAGCCGAGGTTTCTGGTCAACAGGACATCACCTGGAATGTCATGGGATGATTTCAACACATTTCAAGCTAGGACGCTGTGGCATAGCCAAGGGATACACCACGCAGAATTTGTAACTCATAATTTTCAGCTGTATGAAACAGTTGTCATAAAAGTTGCAAAAAAGTATATCCTCGGATAATCTAAGATGGCAATGAAACACATAATCATGTAACAAATTATATGTAGATGGTTGATTGTCCCATTAAAAACATCTTAAAACCTTTATTTTGGCCACAGGGTTTTTCCGCCATTAACACTGTTGGTGCCGGTGCCCATCTCCTGCGGCAGCTCATGCGCGATGATTCCGCCCGCCAACTTCCAAGCGAAGCCGGTGCCACAGGCGTAGAAGGCGAAACCCAAAACCATCCCTGGACCGAGGCAACGCTGCCGCGAGGCATGGAATGTGGGTCAGATGGGATATGGATTCATAGTTTATGATGTTTATGGTCATCCATCCCATGAAAATTCGAACATCATGGACATAAATGAATATAAAGGGTATACATGGGTATACAAATCCCTGTTAATGGATTGATAACTGAAATTCCGGCAACGGAAATGGTGAACAGTTAGGGGTATTCCCTCACACACCAAACGCAGCAGCGCAAATTGTTTCTACCACCAAGCCAGCTATGGCTTCAAGGGCCCTACGATTGAGCCGTAGTCCAACGGCATGCGAGGTCTCATCCAACCTGCAAGGCTAAATGAATGGCACTGTGCATTTCCATTTTCATACGCCCTCAGAGTGAAGTAGGCCGATTGGGCAAAGGCTTCAGTTTCATAGGTTCATATTGCATCTTTCCAGATGTCTCGATCCGTCACCTTCAGGGATCTCACTTCAAGGTTCGGTTGAACTCATAGCCATCAGACTTCGTCCATCCGATCTTCTTGAGGTACAAGGCAAGGTCACGTGCCTGGGTGCACTTCCCATCCTTGTTAAGATCTGCCAGAGTGGGCGTGAAGGTCGCCTGAATCCACCAAAGGTACTTCATAGCTTCTTCATCTTTTTCAGCCATCTCCGCAAGCTCAGCATAGGAGATATTCATATGAGAGTACTTCTTCATGGTGATCACGGTGCGGCCCCACTGCATCACGGTTGTGATACCCTTGGGATAGGGCACGTTGTGGCGCGTCAGCTCTTGACATGCCTGGATCATGGACCCCTGTGTCTTGGGCTGATCCGTGGCTCCCATGGCACTGCGATCACATCCTGCAGCATAGGAACTGGTTCCTGAAGTGGCTGGTCGCTTCCACGGAAACCATGAAGTCGATCCATGAAGCTCTCACCTGCCACGTCATCCCATGATTCCGACTCCTCGGTCTCAGAGAACTCAATGCGACGTTTCGATGAGTCATTCATCGCCTGGATCTGTTCCAGCACATCAGGTCACTGCGATTGGGCGGCCATGAACTTGGCCAGCAACCAACTTGACAAGCCCATGCGCTTGTCCATGCATCACGGCACGGCGAAGGAAGCCGGAGCATCGGCGCATCTCCATTTCACTGAGAGGCTCATCGCTCTCAGTCTCAGGCTTGGCCATCTTTCGCAAGGACATGGCGAAAGGAGAGACGGTGGAAAAACTTCTGCCCCTTGTGGTCGGGAAAATGCGGCGCTCGGTGGACGAGCTTGCATCACACGGTCACATGTTATGACCCTCTTGGAAAAACTATACATCTTGCAGTGTGCTGAAAGGCTGGCGCTCGGCTTCCCTACAGGCTTATTTATTTCATATATTATTGGTTACATCCCCAATTATCCACACAGCTATCTATACACTATACAAAACTTTTTGGCGCTTCGGCATGCTGATTCCTAAGGACAAGTTGGTACGGATGCATTCTGAGATAAACTACTGTGGTGGCAAAATGCCTTGGGCCTCTTTTGCTTTTTCCTTACGGCCTGACTCGGTGCATGGTTTGCTATGGTACTTCCATTGTTGCACAAGCTCATACAACGGTTTGACATCACCCTTAAGTTTTGTGAGAACATCAGCAACCATCCTGACATTGTTTATCCAGAAAGCAAGAATGTTCTGATTGGACATGGTTTCCTTTGCAATGGCTAGTCAATTTGAAGTCTTCTCTCAACTGATATCGCTTGACTACAGCAGCTTCGAGTCACTGCATCGTAAAACCCTTTTGAATCAGTCACAAGTGCGGCTGGATTTTGAGGTTTGGATTCTCTAAACTCTTTGGGGGTGGTACCTTCTAAAGTTTCTGACAACAGGGCCTGAAACATCTCTATGGCATCTAAACCGTTCTGGCCTGACAAGGTCTCGGCAGCCACCGATGAACGGACTGCGCGTCTAAGCTTTTTCGATGTCCAGTCAACGATCCAACAGGTCGCTGGTTTTTGTTCCAAAATGGGCTTTGCAGCAAGGCACAAGAAGTATCCTCCTTGGGATTCTCCGTTTCCACGGGTGCCCCATCCGGCATCAGCTATCGCTATTATCCTCCAGTCTTTTATTGGAACATGTGAAGGAAACTTCAAACAAAACTTTCTCTCTTTCATTTCTCTCAAGGCTTTGTTGTACAACTGGACGTGAGATACTAATCCCTTATCCTGCATTCCTTGGAGATAGGAGGAAAGGAAAGCTTGGTCAGGCCTCGTTGAGTTTGACACCCATGCCAACTGGCCTGCGCACTGTCCCAGCAAACTTGGGTTTTTCAGTGGTGTACCTGCTGATCCTAGTGGCTTTGTTTCGACCGGCAAAAGGCTATCAATATAGGACTCTTGACCTACCTCTATGCTGAAGTCATGTCTGTTTTGTCTGATTTCTACCCCAGTATATCTGATGGTATAGGTGCGATAATCCCCAAATGGTAACTTTTTCTTCAAGTCCTGGAGTACTTTATCCATTTCTTTTGATCCCCCACCTAGGATATCATCAACATGAATACCACAGATCCCCATCAACTTACCTGATTTTCTCAAGGTCCAAAGGCATGGATCTAGGGCTGATTGTGTCAGACCTACGGAGCGCATCTCGCGGCTAAGTCTGAGGAACCAAGCTCTAGGAGCTTCGGCCAGGCCATATGCAGCCTTTTCTAATTTCATCAGGTCTTGGTCATCAAGCTGCATCCATTGGCGAATCTCAGGAGGTGGTTTGAAGTAGATTTCACGGTCAGATGGGTCACCAGATAAGAAGGCTGTTTTGATATGTTTTGATATCTGCACCCCACAAGACCCAGTGCATGGCTGCACAAACAGACAAAACAAGGCTCTTCGACTCTTTCCGTAGTGTCGGACTGTCGGTAGCGATTTTTCCCAGTTCTGGATCCTGCCATCCTACCAGCACCAGGCGTGCTTTTGGAGTTTTTCTCCGGTCATCGGGATCGGAGGACTTTTTCCAAACAAGAACCCAACGTGCTTTGATTATCCTTTCCTGGGGTATTCCTCGGGATTTACATATGGTGGTTACCTTATTCTCTACCCAGGAGTTCCACTCTTTCTGCATAGCACCTTCAAACCACTTTTTGTCAGAGGGACTAAGTTTACGAAAGTTCACTTCGACTCTCCTTTGTTTTGCAGGGGCTGGACCAGCTAACAAGCATTCATCTAGGATACCCCACAAGAAGTTAGGATTATCGTTGATATCAGTGGTAAGGACATCAAAAGACACTTCCAAAACCTGCTCAGTGCGCTTTTTGTGTTCAACACTAAGTTCATTATCTTCAGGCACTGGGGTGTTTATGGGATTTGGTGGCTCTTCGGATGGAGCGGCAGGCTCGATTGGGACATCTGGCACACTACTCTCAGGCATGTCACCTGAAGCAACGGCTTCAGTCGGCTGTACGGCGGTCGACGACTGCTCAAGGTTTTCATCTTCCATGGGTTCATCCCTTGGAGATTGTGCTGGAGATGTGGGTTCATAGGCTTCTTCAGGGATTGGGTCTATCTGTAACCTACGTCTTTGAGCAGGCGGCTCAGTAGGAACATTACCAACTGAAGTGATGACATCAGGAACCTCGCCCTCTTTGATGGAACCCATTGGAGGTGCACCAGCTGCACGACGTTTCCAATACTGCTCTGACCTAGTGATTCTCATTCTGATTCTCCTAGGCATTGGAAGTCCATCATCCCCATCTTCTAGGCTGGTTCTTTTTGTGGGTTTTGTTGGGCGATCATCACCATCTTCATCATCTCCCCAATCATCACCATCAGGTTGATCATCCACATCATCCTTGAGTTCATAGTCATCGTCCTGCGGACGTTCCTCAGTGACATCCTGAAACTGGCCGGCACGGTCGGCAAGGGACTGCTCTGCAGATTCAACATCAGGGTGCAACCTTCCCTCAGCAAGTTCTTTGGCCAATCGACGGAACTCTGATTCGTCTTCTGGGACCGGCCTAAGGCCTTCTGGGGAGCATTTATATAGATACCCGTTCCAAGCAACCCAAACAATCCTGGGAACGAAATGACCAGTAGAACTCTCAGTACCTATGACTCTACCGGGACCACTCCAATACCCATTTCTGGTAGTTAATTGCCCTTTTCCCCTACGACGGAAAATATAGACAAGTTGACCAGGTTGATAGGGGCCTCTTAGGGGTCTATTTCTGCCGGCAATGGCCCGGCGCCATACATCCTTAGCGTGGGCTTCTTGGAAAGCCATGGCAGCAGTTTCCCTAAGGTGCATTTTGGCCTGAAAGGAGGGATCTGAAACGATCTGAGATTGCACAGCTGAATCATGCTGGGATTCGACGTCTATCAACCAACCTGCATGTCTTGTGTCCTGTCCCAGAAACCATTGTGCTGGACTAAATCCGGACTTGCGCAACATGGAGTTACGTACAGATGAACACACTTCGATCACTTCTGGGGCTGGACGGCTGGTTGTACGCCAAGCTCGACGTGCCATGTCCCGCAAAATGCGGTTTGCGATCTCAAGTCTTCCCAACTGCCAGTGGCTATCAGCAGCGGCATGCAACAGTTGGATTCCATTATGGGACAAATAGGCTTGGAAATCCTTTGACAAGTTAATCTGATGTGCATCCATGAAAACTATTTTTGGAGCTCCATAAGGCCTAGTCCACACTGCATGAAATGCTTGAGACAGCTGGTTTGTTCCCTTTTCAGGGACGACGATCTGCTGGGCGAAGTCAGTGGCGAGGCAAACTACTGTGAGCACGTTGAACTTCAGCTCCTCTAAAACCATCGTTTTTACCCCCATTTTCTTCTTCCCTTGACAGCTCAACCTGGACGTAATCAACACCAACAACATGGTTTGGTTGATCGGCATGTGGCATGGCTGCATTCCTACGGAGGGTTGGAAGCTTCAACTCTTGGCACACAGAGCATTTAAAGTTTCGGATTGCTCGGTTCACTGCTTCGGATGATTGACATCGGGTTGCCAGGCGCAACATCTGCTCAGGTGAGGCATGACCTGTATTGATGTGCAACTTTGTGACGATCTGTTTGGCCCTAGCTTCAACACTTTTGTCAGGGTCATCGGATTCACCTGACGCTGGTGCATCAACTGGCTCACCGGATTCGTCTTCGACGGCATCAATGGCTAACAGGCAGTCTGCAGGGCTTGCATGGGCATTGGACACGGAACGGATGTCTTCGACAATCAGTTGGGAAATCACATTGCAAAACTTGGACGGATACGTTTCTGCAATCTTGGAGAGGTTGACACCTTTGTACTTCCCTTCCAAGTGTCCATGCTCATGTCGGTGATCGCAACGGCAGCATGCAAGTGCTTCGGCTAGGCTTCTCTGCGTGGTGGCAATTTGCGTGGGTTTCATCACAGGCAACCCAGTTTTGGGGCATCTTAAACCCAGTGCACATTGATCTACCCTTACTGCATAAACATCCCCAAGTGTTAGTTCCCCCCAGGCTTCACTGGACAATGGATTTTCGGCATGGCAATGGCCTCCCAAGGTGGTTTGGAGAGACCAGGCTTCTGATACTGCATGGAGGTGTCTCCTAGCTACCGCCCTCTGAGCTAAGATACTCTCTCTGCATTTTTCATTCCTAGCCATGTTGAAACGACTCCATGGACCCCAACAACCGCAGGGAAAAGAGAACCATACATGTCTTGGGCGAAGCAACGCGATCAACTGCATCAGCTTGCGTCTATCACTCAACCGATTCAAGTCTTGGCCATACTGCAAACCGATCTTTATGCTAGGCACACCTAACTTGGATTGAACCTTGGAGGCGAGAGGTGCCTTGCCAGTGAACACTTCAATGAATTGTGGACATCGATCAATGGCATCAGCCTGATCGCCCAACCATTCTCGGAATTCCTGCCGGACACGGCTTGGCTCTTCCAGCACTCGGGTCAAAACAAGCTGAGCCTGTGTTCTTCTCAGTGAAGAGATTGCGTTTTGCAGCTTGACACGGACTTCTTCTGGCAACGGCTGCATATCTAATCCTACCCAGTCAGTTTCTTCATACAACACCTCAAGGTTATCGGAGGGAGGATTATCTTCAGAGGTCCTATTAAAGGTGAATGGGGTTTGATTGCAACACAGGCAGTTCGGCTCAGGCTGATTGTCTTGACCATCCGGGACAATGGTCGGCAGACTGGCACTACGGTATGCAAAAAGGGCTACATTCACCTGTTGGACTTGGCGTCGGCTGCTTCCTGCTGGACGGGCATGCCAAGGACCAACCAGGAACTCTCCATCCTTATTGAGGGTTACAACAGATTGCAGCATTTCCTGATCACAAGCTTCATGGGGGACTCTTTCCAACCTAGGCCTATATGCAATCATGACATGCTTGATGGCTTCGGCATCCCTACCATAAATAACTTGAAGTTGTTCGGAAAATTGGTTGACAGCTGCAATACCATTTTTGGTGTTCTTCACGATATGTTGAAATGCTCTACGCCTATCACTGGTACTTGGAAGGTTACCAACAGATCTAACAGCTTTTCGGGAACCATGGTCCTTTGGGCTGTGTTCAGGGACCGGTGGCACATCCATGTAGGCGGTGGCATCATCTTCATTGTTATTGGGCTCATTCATACTACCATCGGACTGCACATCAACTGACAAAGACTGTGGTTCGGTTTCACTAACGTTCTGAACCTCCAACTCTTCTGGGAGATCACACAGGGGCATGAGGAAGTGTCCATTTGCAGCTTGACGGAGTGGAACATCCCTCATATTGTGTGGAATGCTGGTGATTGTCTTTTTACCCAGATCCAAACACGCTTTCATTCCTTCAAGAACTCGGCGAGACATCAAGAAAGGAGTTTGGCCAGGCACCACATAAGTTGTTACTGTTCCCCATAAATCCCCAAGTTTCACATGCCACTTCAAACCTTCTGTTGTCTCCACTTTCTCCCCCTTGAACCCTTTCAGCTCCACTGGAGGAAGATCACAAGGCACAGGTTTGGGCAAGCGGTTCTTCTCAAAGAAGGCTGACATCACCTGGGCGGTATCACGGCCGATGACCGATGTGGTGCATCCCGTGTCAAGGATGGCATGTCCAGCGGGAACACTCGCCAATAGGGCATCTTCTGAGGAAATCATTGCAACATCAGTTGAAATTGTATCCACCATGTAAGCAAACGAAGAAACCAGAATCGATTCTGTCATGTTGGCTTCCTCCTTCTTGGTGGAACCTCGTGAGTCCTTCTGCTTGGTTTTGAAGTTCGCTTTGTTTTGAGGCTTCTTTTCGTACTTGAATGAAGTCTTTTGCAAAGGAACTTGAGTCTGACCCTGTCCAGATGATTGACCCTGATCTGTTGGCTGATTCAAAGCAACCACTGGGTAATAAGGTTGACGACTGCGTTTCAACTCCTTCACACGTTTCTTCGATTCCTTGTATGTACGAAAAGATTTCTTGAACTTCTCCTTTGCACGTTTCTGTATTTCATAGACCTCCTCAAGCTCTTGTTGAACATCTGAATCAGAAGTGTCGTTTGAATCTACTGCCATAGCGTGTTCAGAACCATCGGACTCACCACTGTCCAAAACATTGATACTTGAAGAATCGCTATCAACAGCCATGACATGTTGTTGTTGTACAACCATTGCATCACGACGACCAGGCTTGTTGTGGCTTCTACGGTCATCTTGTCTATGTTCTTCAAAGTCTGAAGCCCTTAGGATTCTTTCAATGTCAGAAAACCTGGAAGACCCATTGGTGGCCCGAACTACTTGTGCACGTTGTTCACGACTCAACCCATACTTCCGCATAAACAGGTGTCCCAAAACAGACTGAGGAAAAATTGGTTTGGGTTTCACATGACCCATTTCCAGAGTACCCAACATTTGTTGCATCTTCTTTTGAGCATGGGCCCAATCCTGTTCATACCCACCACGTGTGCCCGAAGCTCTACGACGGGAACTTGTCTGAGACCTGGCAGTACCCAAGGCTGAATGCGCCTCGTCTCCATGTCGAGCTGGCTCATCAGGTTCAGGTGCATCAGCTGGCTGTTTGGCTGACTGGCTGCCAGCTGCTGAGGCACTTGAGGCATGTGCAGGCTCAGGGGGTTTGTCATCTCTTTCGGATTGGGAGGCTTCAGTAAGCGTATGTTCAACATCACCATCATGCTCTTTCACAGAAGGTGGTTGGGACCCATTGGTTTTTCTACGTTTCACTCTCACAAGTTCTCTTTCTTGGCTGATCAAAGTCTCAACCCTAGCAAGCTGTGTCCTAAAACGGCTGGCTCCCTCCCCATTACGTCTTTTCAAGGAGAAAAGGAACTCATCTATGCTCTCATGCAGCTCTGTCTCAGGAAGAAACTTGTAGTGCTCGTCCAAAGCTTTGATAACAGTCAGAAAACCAGTTGGAGTGCGAAGCTCGGCAATGTTGAGGTGCTCGGTTGCACGCCATGCTTCACCAGAAAGTCTTGCTAAAAGTCTCGGTCCAGCAAGGTGTGCATGCTTGTCCTCAAGGCCGGCTATTGCCAACAGTGTCTTGCGACGAAAGTCTCGATACCCAGAAGGCTTGCCGTCAAAGGAGACGTGTTGCAGGGCATCTTTACTGCTATCCATCGATCAGCAGTCACAGAAGACCGAAAGGTCCAGTTCGCCCGAAAGGGCCAGGACTTGCGTCCTCACAGATGTGCGGCAGCACCAAGCGTCGCAGGTCCTCGGAGCTTGACCTGCTCCGCTACAATGAAATTCCGGCAACGGAAATGGTGAACAGTTAGGGGTATTCCCTCACACACCAAACGCAGCAAGCCAGCTATGGCTTCAAGGGCCCTATGATTGAGCCGTAGTCCAACGGCATGCGAGGTCTCATCCAACCTGCAAGGCTAAATGAATGGCACTGTGCATTTCCATTTTCATAAACCATCCCCCAATCTGGGTATACAACTCTTGGATGAGCCTTTAGGAACACAGCGGGGCTGGCAAAGTCAGAAGTTGTCAATTGGTCTGGCTGAACATTGGCCCACATCCCTGGTTGGTTCAGATGTGCAATGCATGGATATGTATATATATATGTGTGTATATATATATTTGATTACATTTGACTATACTTGAATATATTTGTACTATTATGCGGCATCGATGACCACTGCCTTATATTGTGGTTTGGATTGTCATCGTCCAATAAACAAATCGTGCGAATATCACACAACATTTGAACGGATGGGTTAAACAATGGTTGGCTCCGCAAGGCTCTCTTGATCCAGCTTGCTATAAACCTTCCACAAACGGAAGGTCAACCACCATCACCAACTGGTTGAACTGCACCAGCCACGTCCAAAAACTTATCTCATCCGCTTCTGCTGATTGGCTACTAGGGATTATCATTATAATGAATAATTTTCATGAGCTATTATAGTCACCTCCAGGGAACCACGTAGTGGAGGATGCAGCCACGCTGAACTAGTATCCATCAATCACCGAACATCCACCAGGTGAATAAAGTATAATAAGGTATTTGCGTCACAAGTTTTGTTATATACTTTGTTGGTTTCCCTTGATCAATCTTGTTCAATTTGCTGTCAATGACAGATGGCGAACACAGCTTCAATGCAGGACTGGGGACCGTCCGAAATGTTGTGGATAAAGTCCTTGGTTCACATCACGTCCAAAGACCTATCAATTTTCCCATTGCCGTGTTTGTGTATCAAAGGATATCCTGGGATGTTGACCTTCCTATTTCTGGAGTGTTTAGCTCTGAGCCGTAACCAATATTGACAGGGCGGAATCGATTTTTTCTAAGGCTACTCACACGATTCCAACAGTCTATCTTTCCAACTTATGAACCAATAATCGACAACGAGATGTTTTTTGTGTTCTATTTCTGAAGTGTAGTCGGCGCGGATCATGTTTTCAAATGGATGTGGAACCCTCAAACCTGAAAACGGACCAAATCTCCATGAAACTAAACAAGTTTAATCCGTTAAATTAAACTTAAATATCTAATGTACTGGAGTGATCATGTGTGCGTAAGGTTTGATCCTTCGTGACATGTCAGCCAGAAATTGGTTGGTTAATGTTGTAGATTCCCACTATAACCCATGTATTAAACACTCTTCAGTACTGATGGTTGTGGGTACCCAACCATGGGCACATCCAAATGCCCCAAACAAAAGACCCTCTCCCCAACAGTTGATGGCCCGTGCCTTGATGAAAAATGGATGTCTAGTCTAGACTAAGAATCAACATCCATGTCATTAAATAGTACCCTGATCCAATGCCATCATACCATTATATCCCATTATATTTGTTGATTGCTATCCCCATTCGGAGTTCATCCGCAACCAACCAGGTAGGTTGATATCCCCTATTTCCTAACCAACCATCATTTATCAGTTTATCAATATTTCACAGGTAGTGCCCGGCACGCGCCGGGGCGGAAATTTCAAAAATAGCACATGACTGTAGGAACCAGTTTGCTTACAGGAATTGTGGGTGAGCTGGAAAGAAGTGAGTTGAAGCGCAACGAAACGAAATGAAATGAAAATGATAATGAAAATGAAAATGGAAGGAATGAAGGATTGAAGGAATAAATGGAATGAATGGAATGAACGGAATGAATGGAATGAATGGAATGAATGGAATGAATGGAATGAATGGAATGACTGGAATGACTGGAATGACTGGAATGAATGAATGAAATGAATGGAATGAATGGAATGAATGGAATGAACGGAGTGAATGGAATGAAGGAAGGAAAGAATGAATGAATGGAATGAATGGAGTGAATGGCATGATTGGAAGGAATGGAATGACTGGAATGACTGGAATGAATGGAATGAATGGAATGAATGGAATGAATGGAATGAATGGAATGAATGGAATGACTGGAATGAAGGAAGGAAAGAATGAATGAATGGAATGAATGGAATGAAGGAAGGAAAGAATGAATGAATGGAATGAATGGAGTGAATGGCATGATTGGAAGGAATGGAATGAATGGAAGGAATGGAAGGAATGGAAGGAATGGAAGGGGAAGGAATGAATGAATGTTTGAATGAATGATTGTGCGGAAAAGCCACTGAAAATCAGTGGCACAACTCAGCTGCCATTGCACGCGCCTTTTTGAGCCTGACCCTAGAGCCTCAATGCTCCGCAGACAATGCGTCAAAAGAATAGCCACAATCCATGCGGACAACTTCACTGGCAACTCTGCAAGTCAAACATTCACACTGGTCACATTATCTTTTGCCAGTGAAGTTCGCAACTTTGCAGCTGATATTTCGTGGAATCTGGCCCAGCCAATGACATCTCGCAACATACGCCCTTTTGGCTTGGTAAGTGCGTCAGCCAATTGGCAACGAGTTGGGACCCACCACAATCTGGCTTTTGTCGAGGTTGGTCGCACTGAACACATTTTCCGCGGCAACACAACTTGAACTATCCCACCCTTGTCACTAACATGTTGGCCATCCCTCTTAACATGATCACATATAGATTTACAGTCAGTGAGTCAGTAATCATATTCATAGGGATTACGTCTTGCCATTCGTCTTCGTCCACAATCGTGAGAAAATCCTGACCAAATTTTGCCTCAGTGATCAATGCCTGCAGAAACCGGCCCAAGCCGTGCGCCATGATAGCAGAATGTGTTTCGGCCGATGGTGAACTTTCCACAACTTTTTTGTTAGTGGTGCTCTTCCAGTCAAGTACATTCATCGGAACATCTCTGCCTGCAACCTCAATGTCGCCTCTACGAATTAAACCAATTACCGCACCCTTTTGTGAGTAGACCAGCTTCCTTTCAGTACCATTCAACAAGATATCATCCGCCTCCTGTTCATCAATTTCAACACCAACAGTATTGAAAAGAGAAGCATCGTGAAAAACAACGAGTTCAACATTCTCACCCAACTTTTTGAATTCAGCTCAAACCGATTCTCTTTGACCTCTCGAACGCATTTGTTAGCAACCAGTAAATCTCTAACTCTCAGATCTCTCGCTCTCTTCTGCAACTGGTTCACCTGAAAGCTAACATCCGGTCTAGTTTGAGTAGATACCCATTGCAAACTTCCTACAACACTACGGAATCAGTTCTTTCGTCTTCCGTTGCAAACTCTTCCAACGAATTACGCCGTCCCTTGGAAACCGAAATTTCATCCAATCTGCCATCAATAAAAGTATTTTGTGACAAACTGATCCAACGGTCCAACCCATCACCCTGCAGACTCATGTCCTTGCCACAATATGAAACAGACTTCTCTTCAGCAACGGCTTGCCACGTACCAAAGGGAAAGCGTTTCCTGAGTTTATCAGTGGCTGCTTTTGCAAGGGAAGATCCGTCCGTCGCGACCATCAGATCATCAACGTGGACAATAGCCCACAGAGTTTTCCTGCTTCATCTCGCATATGAAACATCGCTGGGTCCACACCGCTCTGCACAAAACCTAGTTCATCTTTGGGTACCCTGGCTAACTCATTAAACCAAGCCCTAGGTGCATCAGGCCTACCATACACAGATTTGATCAATCGCATAATTTGACCTTTCTTTAAACCTGGCAGACCTTGTCGTGGCTGTCTCATATACATGACCTTGCCTTGGAGCGGAGCTCCTTGAAGGAAAGCATTTGACATGTCTCCAATGAACCAATTTGTCAACCACCCCATTGAAATCACCATATGCAGAAAATACATAGTCGACACCCTTTCAACTGTTGGTGAATCAACCTGGATTTCACCAGAAAGTGAATCAGGACAGAGATGCCCCGCTAGGCAAAGTTTAGCTTTTGCTTTGAGAGGAAGTGGTGTGCCATCCGCTCCTACCAACCCCGCGTGCTTGTTTCTCAAAACAAAACGTGAAGGCAGGATCCTCTTTGGACATTCCTTAATGACAAAACTTCACAGCTCTGGTATTCCAACCAGCTGTTCCATTCCTTTTCTATTGCGGCTTGGAACGCGGGCATGTCATGAAATGGAATCATACGGAATCTCTTTGTCCATCATTTTCTTCAACTTGTTCATGCTAGTGACCATGACCTGGTTGCCTTGACTACTCTGACTCAGTTCACAACTGGGATACATCCAAAGTTGAAGTCGCTCTCCATGCAGCTTCGCTAAGCTGTTCTACCAGTCTTCCTGCTCGGTACTCGGGGTCTAACCCCGAGGTGGCAAGGAACAAATCCACGCGCCGTTTGTAGTCACGAAATGGCGTGTCACCACTCCATGAAGGGATCACCTCTTTTCCAGTCTTTGGTTCACGCGTCCTTGAACTAACATTGGACCCGCCTCCTTGACTGTTCTGTCCTGCGTCCTCTTGTCCCAATTTCATCACCTCACCTTGAGAGTGAGAGGCCCGCCCATCCGCTGTAGCTTTGGAATGCGAAGCTAGCCTTTCTGCTGTGGATGTCAACCCTGACTCACGCCTGTGGCCAGTCTCATCGAAGCAGTCTCTGTCATCTCTATGGCTCATAGACTCACCTCTATCGTTCGATCCATGCCATGTATCAGACCAGCTCCAGTCATTGCCATAACCATACCAGTCATTTCGCCACCATCTTTGTGAATCATACCAATTGGAATTTCCATCCCAACCATGCCACTGCCATGCCCAACCATGCTGCCGCCAAGGATCATGCTGCCAATCCTCACCACTGCCACCCGGATGCCAGTGATCATGCTGATCTTGCTGCCATAGTTCATCGCTCGCCATCAGCAGCAAAGCACCCTGCTCCGCGCCACCAATGCGGAAAAGCCACCGAAAATCAATGGCACAACTCAGCTGCCATTGCGCGCGCCTTTTTGAGCCTGACCCTAGAGCCTCAATGCTCCGCAGACAATGCGTCAAAAGAACAGCCACAATCCATGCGGACAACTTCACTGGCAACTCTGCGAGTCAAACATTCACAGAATGAACGAGCGAACGAATGAATGAAATGAAATGAAATGAAAGGAAAGGAAAGGAAAGGAAATGAAATTGAATGAATGAATGAATGAATGAATGAACGAACGAACGAATGAATGAATGAAGGAAGGAAGGAAGGATGAATGAATGAATGAATGAACGAATCAATGAAAGTTGCAAACTTTACCTTCCCAAAGTGCTCTGGCGCTGTGAGTTTTTTTTACGGTTTCTATGTGAAATCGAGCTCTCGCTACAGTGGTGTGCACATTTTGCCGACCTCATCGTCCAAAAGTGCTCCGAACATGACAACGACTTTTATGTGAAATCGAGCTCTCGCTACAGTCTCGTGCACATGCCAACCTCATCTTCCAAAAGCGCTCCGAACGTGACAGTTTTTTACGATTTTTTATGTCAAATCGAGCTCTCGCTGCAGTCCTGTGCACTTTTTGTCGACAACTTTTGCAGATCGAGGCCCGCAACCACGGAAACACAAACCTACTTCGGCGACCACGGAAGCCACTTTACCTGAAAAAACACACGGTTTCGCGCCCGAGAATCTTTTCAGGCCTGAACTCACACGTTCCCGACATGTTACACTTCCCAACTACTTATATAATGATGATGTGGTTGACATCATGGTGAGGATGCTGCCCATGACAATCGTCCGTAACTTGGAAGTGTTCAAACTAAACTTCCTTTGATCAATGTTTATCAGCTATATTCCCAGAATATGTTTGATGGATTTCGATGGTAAGCCCATGCAATAACCAATCACTACAAGTAGGGCCATTCTGGAAATAACCCATGTAACAACATTCATCAAGTTCAGTCCGAGCATCGCCCCAAAACACTGGGATAGCGGCACTCCAGTCCACCTCGCCGGTGAAACCGGGGAACTGGTTGGGTAGTTCCCTTCCACTCACGAAAATTTTAAACAGAACAAATCACCCTCCGTAGATAAACGCCCAATGAAAAAAATCAAGAAACTTGCTCAAAAGCATGGATTGTTTCCGAAACCAGAATGAATTTCGATATGTTGGGTGATGTCAAATGGAATGTAAATCTCAAAAACCTTGTCAGACTTTTTACCCACGGATTGTTTATCACATTTGCTGCATTCCTATCTATCATAGCTGTGTTTTCTGCCTATCTTCGAGGTCGGTCAACCACTGGTGAAACCCTCCCTGCCAAGTGACTTTTTTGGGAACCTGAAGTTCCTGGAGGCATGCAGCGACAGGTGTTTCTGGGATGTGTCCTATTGCTTCCAACTGCCAGTAGATCGATGTTTGTCAAATTACAATACTTGGGAAATGTCTCACTACTGGTGGTTCAGCATGTTGAGCATGTTGAGCAGGTGGATGCATTGCGGCCAAGACTCTTCAGTCTTTTCACCGGTTTCAACGTTCGCCACCGCAGTGTCCTTCAACCACATATGAAAAACAATCGCATGCGAAGTAAAACGAAACTGTGGACGCGACATTAGCTCCAATGAAGCTAATATTACAAAGGGAATGCCTTGTGTTTTCTCGTATAACACTCATCCACAAAAAGGTACTTTTGGCATTGTGATGTTAGCTTGCCAGGGCATTATCAATGCCTTCGCCACAGCATTCTTATCAGAAATCTCACCCATTGACGCTCCAATCCCAAGGTTCACTTTGTTCACTCCTCGGGCACAGCTTTTTCCTTCTTGAGCAAGTGGGAGATCCTGGGACAGGAAAAAGGACTGCGAAAGTTTAGAGTACCAACAAACAAGGCGTGTATATATGTATATATATAAATAAATAAACAAAAAATAATAAATAAATAAATAAATAAATAATAAATAAATAAATAAATAAATACATAAAAAATAAATAAGTAAATAAATAAATAAATATGCATGTTGACACCAATCTTGGGTGTGGTAAACCTCAAAAGCTAGGATCGGAATCAGTGTTTTCGGTGCTTGCTTTTATTGTTGAGAAACACTGATGCTGCTGCTGCTGCTAATTATTCATGATGGATCAAACAAGAGTGGGGGTGACACAAACTTTACAAAAGACCCTAAGCAACAGAAACAACAAACTACTTTCTGCGAGTTATCCCCACCCTGAAACGCTATTCTGACACACAGTTTCTGACATACCCTCTGGAAGTATATATGGCATACGTATTCTGACATTCTTTCTGGCATATATTTTGACATCCTCTCTGACATTCTATCTGGCATCTACTGACATACTTTCTGGCATCTTTTCAGGCGTTCATTCTGGCATTCTTTCTGGCATCTATTTCGACATTCTCTCTCTACATTCTTTCTGGCAAAATTTTCTGGCATCTATTCTGACGTTCTTTCTGGCATTCTATCTAACATATTCTGGTTGAGCTCCGGCACTGCCAACGGAGATCTGTCGCTCGCGGTTGAGGTCCGGCACTGCCCACTGAGATTTGGAGCTCGCAGTTGACGCGGAGGCGGGCAAGAGGCGGAGGTGGGGAGGCCAGCTCTGATAAAATCTACAGACCCTCACCTGGCAGGTGGGGAAACAAGTTAGGACGTACGAACAGAACAGCAATGTATAAGTTGTTTAAACTGATCGTCAAGTCTGGGCTGGGTGGGTATTTCTGCCAACAAAAATGGCTTAGCAATACAGCCAAAAAATAGTGAGTGCAGAAACAAAACTGGGAATGGGAACATAAATGAGGATGTCTACAAAAAGAGAAGGGCGCAAGCACACACAAGACAACGACGAGGATGTAGACCAAGAAAATTGAACCGACTGAGGTCCGTTGCGGTTGTTATGTGAACATATACTTTGACACGAAGGTCTTATTCATGTAGTTAAATTGCATACAATATGTCTTTTTGGCTTATATAGAACAAACATGAACAAACAACAAGTCATCAGAAAGTCAGCAGTGCAACACAGCCCAGCTCTGAAGATCTTAATAATAATATGTTTTTGGTGTATGCTTTGCTTGTCTGTTTCACATACGAGTAGTTGCATACAGTCTTCACATGCATTTCACACACCTACAAAACCGTCAGGCATTTTTTCTGCCTTCAGTACCTAAGCATCTGTGCGGGCACTTCCCAAAAAACCTTCAATTTTCACCTAGATGCCATGTTGTTACGTATTGTGTACCTCGTCGCCCAATGAAGCTCAATGTTTCAGCATCCAACAAGAATATCTCTTAGGTAAACCAGCCAACTGTTTCATTACGCCCAGTGATTTCGCCAAGGCTCTGATGGACCATGATCCCGATGAGCCAACCGGCCAGCAGGCAACTTCCCCATGCAGCCGCGGCAGCGGACTGCACAAGGCACACGGGATGGGAATGGCAAAAAAACAACATGTCAACTATATGGTAGATATGGGTAATATGGCACATATGGTAGATATGGTAACATTACTGTACGTCAAATCTACTTCTATATACATTCACAAACACATCCATACACGCGCACACACACACACGCAAACATGCATGCACAAACACACACGTGTATATATATATATATATAGCATATTTGTATTGATCTTGATCCATGAAACTGCTCTATGGACATAGCCTAGCCGTCTACCAGCTATGACATCAGCTGCTAAACAACCCGCTGGTTCTCCTCAAGTCATGTCATCCCAAAATGGATCAACTTCTGAGTCAAGTCCGACATGTGTCTTCACCATCAGATGTTGACTTCGACCCCCAATGTCTGGCTGTGATATCAAAGAAAGGAACAGAAAACTGGTGGAATGGTTGGAAGATGTTGGAGGATCTTGGAGGATGTTGGAAGTTTGGCGTTTGGGGTTGATCCAAAGGTATGATTCAGGAGTCCGTGACAAGAAGTTCGACCCCTAGATCTTGGAACTGCCTCTTTCCCAGAATAAACCTCCCCAGATATGGCCAGGCTTGCTGAGGATAAGGTCATTAGCTGCAGGTTTTCTATTTAGATCTGGGGGTACAGACTTTGCCCGCCCTTCTGATCAGATTCTTGAACCGTGGTGTTCTGTTTTCCAAGACAGACACATCCAAAACTTCAAGAGGAAACTCACAACATACCAGTACCCTCTGGCAATCAAACATGGCAATGGAAAAATCCCCAAATAATGGTTCATTTTCACATATTTTCACATTTAAATACATGTTTCCAGTGGATTTTCTTTGATTACCGGGTAACGGTTGCCTACGCGAACCTCTTTCGTTTTGCCCTAATTTCACTGACCGGAAACCCACATGCCTCGCTTTTGCCTCCCATCATCATGAGGTAAGACTGCGCAGTGGAATGTGCGTCAAAGGGGGAAGGTGACATGCAATCACAGGAAACACGAGATTGACCCAGGCCCATGCAACTGCCGTGGTTCAGGAGTAGTTCACATCCCAACATTTCGTAAAAGAACATGTTCATCTTAGGGGGATCTCTACGGTCACAGCCAGTTCGAAACCATTCCGAAGAAAAAGGAATCAAAAGGTTTGAAATGTTTGAGTCATTTAGGTAACATTTAGTCAATTGAAACTCATGTTTAAAACTTTGGGATCATTTAATGGCCCATGACAGAGTGTGCACCCGTCACCGCCTCTGGCATCAGCAGGAACACGGACACAGAGAAAATCACGCCGCTGGCTGCGGAATTCGAATAGTGCATGAAGGTGCCAGCATATTGAGCTGCCTTAGAGACATCTGTGTGACCATTGTGACATTGAGAAGGATCACAATATCACAGAAGCAGCTCCACAAATTGGCAATCTTCTTGTTTGGTACTACATAATTCATCTGATTCTAATCAGGTCTAAGTAGGTCTTGGCATGGACCCAGGAAATCCCGGCCGTTTCAGCTGCAAACCACCGAATTTGGGGGGTACCCGAATTTCGTTGGTACGGATCGCAGCCGGGTCTTTTTTGGGGGGCACAGGCAACTTCAAAGAGGCCGGATGACAGATGTTCAATATGTTCAACCTCACTGGGAGATTCAGATGATTCAGTAACATCAAGAATGCGGGGTTGACATAGGCACCAAATGTCACCAATTCACCAATTCGCATTAAGTACCATGCAACGTCGGTACAGGTCTTTACCTAGAACATCCTACAATACCAGGATGTTTAGGGTGCCCAGAGTAGGCAGCCACAGCACAAGCATACCATAACAAGGCTGCATTGAAGGAGCCAGGGCTAGGTTTGTTGAAGCTGTGTGGGATGAAATTGATGTTTTTGGATGTTTTTGGTAGCACGTGGGTACAATACCTCGTCTTTTGATCGCTTCAATAATTTTGACCTCCAACCATCTTGTGCCTTCTTTAAGGAACACCACATGTCTCAAACGGCTGATCTGAAAATAGGGTATAAACAAAAACCATGACTTAATATGGTTTTTAGTGGTGTATCATCGTGTTCAATCATTTTTCCCACGAAAGTACCAATTCGCAAAACCCAACTGATGAGAACGCCGAGCAACACCTTGGCAGGTGAACATCAGAACTCCAATGCCTGGGTTCTGGGGATCTGTCGGTTGAAGATGATATAGATGGAAATAGAATGAAATAGATATCTATACCTATCTATGTGTACCATGTAACTATATGGTCTCTATATATATATATGTAGGTCTATATGACAGAGGATGATGAATCATACACATATACACTTAGAATGACTTAAATATTGGAGGGTATCCACATATGAATGATAGATAGAGACAGAGATGCTGCACACTGAATTTGTGGATATGAACCTCACATGGAGACCGTATTCTGGTCGTTTCGCGACGACAACCGCCCGCACCGGAGTGTTAGCTCCGCCAGTTTCAAGCTGTGTTGGGCCCATGTTGAGTTTGTTGAGGGCTATAGCGAGTCATGTTGGGCCATGTTGGGTCTATGCTGGGCCTATGTCGTTGGGCCTATATATGTTGGGCCATGTTGAGCCCAAGTTTGGCAACTTAGCCGATTTTAGGTCCTTTAAAAAGAGGTGGAAAAATACAGGAATCTTGAGCGCAAAAAAAGGCCCCCGCCCAAGCTAAAGCTTAATAGCTATTGCAATAGTTTCCGGATAATGTGTGCACACAGAAAAAAGCCTCGGCACCTTCGGTGCAGGTGGATTTTATTCTCCATAGAGATGGTTTTCTGGCCATGTTTGCCAATTGACCATATGCACCCAGAGTGACACGTACTCCTAGAAAAGTGAATACAAACATCATCATCATCATCATAATCATAGGCATCGGTGCACTCTTGTTTTCCACCTCCAGCGTGTGACTGTAAGGTTTTATGAACTGTGAGAAGTAATCACAGTTCCCTTCTCTTCGCTTTGTCGCGCCCTTCAGGCTGCGAAAAGATTTAAACACACATTGTCTTGCTTCTCTCATGGTAGAGAGTTGACTTCAGTTCCATGGCAGGAACTCCGCAAAAAGAAACAACATTTACTTCCATGGAAGGAAGGTTCAAACAAGGTTCAAAAAGCCATTCCACGACCCCTTTACTTGACACTTTAGTGTTGAAAAGGCCTACACTCTTGCAGTTTTTCCCTGGCACGTGGAGAAAAAGTTAACATCGGCAGGAAGCTAAGGCCGTCCTGTAAATATATTTTGGCCACTTGGGCCACTGCAAAAGGAGCCAGAGAAAGCACGCCAGCCAGCCCGTTCCAAAGGAGAGCACAAGTTTCCACCCCTGGCAAGTGGTAAGGTTCTTCTCAGATTTCCAAGCTGCAACCGCTACACGACCCCTTTTGTTGGGGTCTGCCATCGACTGAGCTCTCTGTAAAAGTTGATTTCATGAAAGAAAAATATATGATGAAAAAGGTCAATGTTTGAGTTCTGTTTTGATAGTTGTTTCAAGACTGTTGACATGATTCATGCTGCAACTGCTGACATGTGGTCACTCATGCATGATATTGTCTATTTTGAAAGCATGCGTGTCCAACACAAATTAGTACACTCGCTTGAGCCCTGCACTGTTGGCGGTTAAGTTCCGCGTGGTGTGCCGGTCTGCCCATCTGTGCACACTGATGTGGACTGATTGCCATTCATGCTGAAACAAGATTGTAAGGAAAGCACTTTTTGTTATCCTTCGCAGAGATCGTTGAACACCTGGTGACATCTTTGTCTCACCATCTTCGCAAGCTGCCTATCGTCGGCATTGCAGGCAAATGGGCATGTCGGCAAAGTTGGAGCCTTCAGGAATGAGGCCATAGTTTTTGGAGTTTCTCCTGCCGCAAACAAAACGATGCTGCTCGCGCCTCGAGGCAATATGGGCCACCCCTGAAAACGAGTGGATCCTCAATCTCTTCAGCTCGTCCAGTGGCAAGTCGTCCCATGAAGCTCTGGGACCTGTGTTGCATGGAGTAAACATCACATCTGCCATGTCAGCCTCGTCATCGCTCGAGTTCTGGCTGTCATCGTCTGTCAGGTCGATCTTCTCTGCAACGCGCTCTGCCCTCGAAGCATCGGGCTTGAATTTCTTGTTTTTCACATCTCTAAGCATCTGGTAAATGACAACTGTAATCCGGGTCAACTCATCCCTGGAGTAAACCACTGCAGATAGGTTTTCTTTTGATAAGTGATGGCCCATGAGAAGCCTGTCAGCAATTGGCAGGTATGCTCCTTTAGACGCCCACGACAGGAGCGTGCATTTCAGGGAGTGACACCCGATCCCTGCCAACTCACTCTCATCAAAACCCGAAGAGGCCAAAAACTCCTTCAAAAAGAGCTGGGCCTCACCAGTTGTCATGCGCCTCTGTAGCCATCCTTGTTTTATCTCACTCCAAGCTGGGAGAGCAGGGTCCAAGGTCAACTGATGCTCTGAGCGCAAGTCCATCCACTGGCTCGCCCATGGGGTTTTTGCGAAGATCCGCCCCAAACCAATCAGGGGCAGCAACTTATTCTGCCTGTCTTTCTTTGCGGTCTTGTAGGACATGGACTCTGCCTCAATGATCTGGAGCCCATCATGGCAGCTGAGACTCAGAGAAGCCAAACGCATCGAGTCCCCAAACCTGGAACAGCTTCCCAGGCACAGCAGCATGTGGCCAGCAATGATCCTCCAATGATCATATGGGGCCAACAAGGTCACGTTCTCCAGCGCCACAATCATCAAAACTGTGAGAGGGTATGCCTGTTTCAAAGGTCGTTTCAATGAAAACATAGCTTGAGATGCACCTCTTACCCTCGATGACAAAGCGTCCAGTCCTTGTCCAAGAAGTCCTACATGGTGGTGCAAAAAGGTCCAAGCTTGGATAAAAGAAGACGCCGTTGTTGGGGATCCTTGCTCCTTCAATTCTTGCATGTACCTGTATATGGTGCTTTCGCATGCGCTGATTGCTGGACCAAGTCCCATGTCACCACACCAAACATGGAATCGCCAGAGAGAGGCCGCACGTTTGGCCACTGTCGCAACTGCTTTTCCAGCAAATGCATCTGATAAAGACCTGGCCCAGTCTTCCTCGCTTGTCAGCAGGCTCACACCTGAAACCAAAGACCTGCCAAGTTTTGAAGAGGCAGGGTCACATAGCAAGATCGTTTTTAGCTTTTTCAGAGCCTCCCAGAGGACATGGTCATCTGTCTTGACCAAAGATGTGTGCCTGAGACGACTCGCAGCTAATTGAGTGGTCAACCCAGACACTGGCATCGATGTACTGGTATTCGATGGGGTAACTACCGAAGGAACCATTCCAACAGAAGGGGCCTTGAAAAGGTGGTCCAACTTCATCCAAGATGGCTTCAGTATGTCGTATATGGGGGCTTGGGCCCGGGTCATTGTTGTAGACCGCTGCATTTTTAACCAGGCATCAAAGACTGCAGGTTGCATCTCAAAACGCTGGTCAACTGGCCCTACGGCTGCAGGTGGTTCCACGAAGCATCGGGGATTTTCTTCTCTCCTTTCGTCCACCTCAACCCCTGAAGAATCAGAGTCTTCTCGTGGTGGATCCATTGCTACCCCCGACTATTCATCACGCAACGTGGGTCATCTAAAAATTTTGATGAAACCCTCCAACCCGCCCAGCCAAAAGCTGCACGGTAAGAAATGAGCTCTGAATAAAAAACTTTGTTTTCTGATTTGTTTCAGAGAAGAAAGGTTTGGAGGGTTTGGACAGATGAAATAGAAACCCACAAAAGAACTGTTTAAGATAATAAGATTATCTGACATGTCTGTAGATGTTTAATCCTAGATTAAGATATCCAAGAACAGTATATGACATGAACAGTATTCAAACAACCGAGTCCCTATACAGGTGTGGTTTAAAAAATGGATTGTAGTTTGATGTTTGGAAGAAGGAAGTGTGGGGTTCCAGTTTTCGCTTCCGTGCCTAGGATGGCACTGTGAAAACTATAAAAGACAGTTTTATCCCTTTCAGGGAGATGCACCATTTTGCTGATCCCCTTTTTTCGAATCTTTTTGCTCAACATGGGTCAACATGGGTCAACATGGGCCAACATAGGCCTCAAGATCGGTCCACATAGGCCTCAAGATGGACCCACATTGCCGTCAAGATAGGCCAACATAGCTTCAAGATGGGCCAACATAGCCCCAAGATGGGCCAACATAGCCCCAAGATAGGCCGCCGACCATCAAAATGCCATGCGTTTTACAGTGTTATTTTGCCGTGCGCAAATAGAATCCGAATTCTTTGTTACTGCTGTCAGTCAGTTGCCCGTGCTACCACTTTGGAAACATGCAAATGCATGCAAATGTGCTGAACCATTCTTCCTTCAGCAGAGCAACAAAGTAGGGTGGAGCAGTGCCAGGGCAGTCTGCCACTCCCCGGCCTTCACAAGCAACCAACTGCTATCAAGGAGACATTGCACAGCAAGCATTGGCGATCATTTGATCATAGACTTCTCAGGTCTTGAATCTGTGACATATCTGTGCCACTGGCAGGTTGATCAGGGATGCCATTGCCTCTTGATATGGACCTTGCCCAAATCCTGGCCCGGACTTGACATGGACGTACTTGAATTACATATAATTATGTGATAATTATATACCTGAAATATAGCTTGGAAATGACTGGAATCTTGGACTTGGCTGGACAATCTGCGATAGATCTGACATTGATTTGCCGGATCCAGGGGTAATGGAAGATCGATCAAGGTCCACACGGCACCTTTTCACAGGCACCCATGGTCGCACTGAGCGCCACCGCATCAGCTCGGAGGTGCCTTGGATGCAAGCCGCCAAGGACCATGTCGAACGGCGGGTTGTGGTGATCACCAGGAGCGGGGTGATTAGGGTCCACTATGACCACAACCGACGGGGCTGGAGGCGAACACAGACAATACAGCAAATAAAAGTTGAAAAATCATGTGGAGAATCAGAAACATCAGTGCAGTGGGACAGCGGGCACAATGCAACAGTGTGAACATCACACACGAAATTGACCCCCCAAGCAGCCATAGCCTTTTTCTGCTCATGTCACACATGCACAGCTGCAAGGCAGGGCGAAGGCTACTCAATGGAACACGACAAGACCGGCAGGATGAGATTCCGAAAAAATGGTCA